ATATATATATATGTATATAGATATATATGTATATGTATATATATATATATGTATTATATATATATGTATATGTGTATATATGTATGTTTATTCTATGCATATAGATAGAGGCTTTAAACTACCCATCTATCAACTTGTTGGTCATTGTCTGTCGCGTTGTTTCAAGCTTCAGAATAGGGAAAGCACCTTGATGGGATTTGGGATTGGGAAAATATCGATATGACCCGCCTTTCCCGGTGGATTTGTTTCAGGACGCAGGGCAACTCAAGCATTCGGGGGCTCAATTTTAGACATGGAACGACTTGTCGAAGGCAAGTCAAGCAGTTCTCCCCTCTGATTCCTGTTTCCGTGACAAGCAGCAACCATGCATTGCAAAACAAGGCAGGAACCTCGGTTGCTTTCTGCGAAGCCCTGCTAAAAAATGATTTTTTAGTGGCTTATTTTAAAACCTACTGGTTGGCAAAAAGTTAAAGTCCTAACATCCAAGCATAATGCAACAAAGGAACGGTGGCAGGCTTCATGGGCAGAACCGGTTTTGCACCAGCCCTTCACGCGGAGTTGCCGGACATAAGTCCAGTTGGCAGGCTTGCAAACATGCAAGAAATAGGAAAACGTTGCGCATGGATATGTCCGTCTTGGTGGAGCAATTCAACGAATGAAAGGAAGCTAATTGATTACAAAGAAGGAACACATTGAAACACAACAGTTGTTGCAACTCAAATTGAATGATTATGGCAGGTATCTGCTCATGAAGCTGCATCAATTATGGCACTGGCCAATATATCCTGCGCAACATCGCAAACCCGGCCGATTTACAGAATGTTTCAAACAGTAATTCGCGAGAAGCCGCAGAAGTCTGGGTTCTGTTTTGGATGTTCTGTGGAATTTCGACCCCGGGCGCAAGCAGAGCCACGAAAGAACAGCGGCAGTGGTCAGCTTCGCATTGATTGGTGGTTTGGATTGGTGGTTTGGATTGGTGGTTTGGTGGTTGCGGAGGGGTTTCCCATTTTTACTCTCGACAAGAACCAGGGGGTGCAAATCCCCAAATCACCCAATCCAAAGCACCAAATTCAGGGTTACCTGACGAAGAACAGAGCCAGATCTATGTGGGCACGCACACCAAACGGAAGTCCTGGTCGATCCCAGAGGGATGGAACACCTCCCATCTACAGGCAACAATCTGGCAAATTGCCTCTTTGGGGGGAGGGGAAAGGAACTTTTTCAACTGCTCACCAAAAGGCAAAAAGGTCATGGTTAGAGGTACGGGGCATCACTCGTCGCAGCGTCGCAGCGTCGCGCCTGCTGCTGTTGCCGCGCCGGCTTCTGCAGCACCTCTTGCAGATCCCTGCGAGCCTTCTTCCTCAGATTCGCTTTGCCGGGCCGAAGATGAGTATCAGGCGCCCATGGTTCAAAACCGTTTTGGGGTGCCGTTTTGGGGAAGATGCACCCATTTTACTCTATTTTAGTGGTTGGATTGGGATGTTCACTGGGGGCTAACCGATTTGGGGTTTGACCCATGGCCAGGTCTCCCAGTGACCTCTTCGGTCGGAACAAACGTGGAGAGCAGGGAACTCCTGACATGACCGGAATGCGCCAGGAAAAAGAGGGCATGTCTCTTTCTGGGAACCCGGAAACAGCTTGTCGCCCGCTGCCCTGCTTTAGCCCTTCCATTTTCAATCTCTATACAAATCAACATCCAGCTTTGGAAAGCTCTGCTAGCGCTTCGCAGTTGCGCAAGATCGCAAGAATGCACCGCTTCAGAAGCTCCAGATGAAAAACATCTGGCCACCTGAAGAGGTACTCCAAAAACCGTCATTTTCAGATCGTTCTCTCCTTCTCTCAAGCTTGGCCCCCCTTTTTCTTCCACGAAAGGGGTGGGTCTTAAGTCAATACCAAACAAGCAATGTCCCCCTCCGACCAAAAAAAAACACTTGAATTCATTCTGAGGGGGCCCTTTCCAAACCAACACGAAGCCAATGCTAAACTCGAAATTGTCACAAACCAAACAAATGACTCCGGATTCTGCCGCTTAAAGTCCTAACATGGAAAATGCAAATATTGAACGATCGTTAGGCCCTGGAATCAGGGAGGGCCGAAAAGGACCCTTTCCCGCCTTCCCTTGACGAATTATTGATCGGAATTACTTCGGTGTGAAGGGGCCTTAAAAATATCGGGGACCGCATTCGCCCAACCATAAAACATGCTTCCCCTGCCGAATGAGTTCGTATTTTTTAGGGGTGAAGGGGGCCACATGAAACTGCAGGCCGCCTTCCGAGGCAAAGTCATCTCCCAACACTTCTTGGCTTGTTGACCTCAGGCCGGGTGCATGTTGGCCGACAAATGACCCTAAGCTTCGCTTGTGCGAACTGCGTTCTACAGGAGGGCGTCGCCATCCTGTGGAAAGGGACGCCTACAAACATCAGGCGGCACCAGCGCTGCTCGAAACAAAAAGTGGCCACCGGTGTGTGTGTGTGCTTTTGGGCAGCCCAAAAATTGGCTGATGAACCAGACCCAACCAGGATTTCGCCAGAGACTCCAAGCCCTGGAGCACTCGCGGAGCTCTTTGTCCTTGTGCTCCAAGTAGTCCCTACAGACCAAAACATCCTGCCCCATTTTGGGGAAGCCAGGGATTCTGCAGGACCGCCAGTATTCAGTCCGCTCCCTGGCCTCACCAAGTCCAGGTCGGGCTTTTGAGACGCCTTTGGTGGAAGTCAGAAACACGACATGGGGATTCGAGGGTTCCCCTTTGAGACAAACTATGAGCCCTGTGTGTCTGAAGCACGGAACATGTTCCGCGTGGCCTTCCGAAGTCCTGAGCCTTTCATGAAAGCAAAAATGGACTTCTCAAAATGGGGAGCAGGTGGCAAGGGAAAACCACATTCGGAAACCAACCAGTTTGGGGGACCCCTATTTGGCCCTGAGCAGGAATTTCAATGGGGGCCCCCTTGCTGGAATTCAGGTGAGGATTCTATCCAACACTTTGGAAGTGGTTCCCATTGCAAAACAGAAAGCGAAATGATGCGTGACTTCCCTACTTTCCCTCAGCACACATGGGGGGTTGTCAAAAGTATGGATTCCTTTTTGGACGCTGTTTAAAGGCGGGCCCCACATACACCATGGCGCAAAAAGAGTGCCCATGTTGGACAACCCCCCACATATCCCCCCAAACAAAGACAGCTCAGTAGGGAATAAGCTTCCGGATGTTGGGAATCAAACGGAAGGGGAGTCCCAAATCGGGGTTGGGTCCAAGTCGGGGTCATTGCATTTCTCATTCCTCATTCGAACCGATCGCAAGTCTTGAGCCCATAGAGTGTCGGGGTTTTCCGGCACAAGCGCTTTGATTTAGTGCGCCAGGCCTTCGCCTTTGCAGGTTGCCAGCCTGGCAGGATCTCTGTTGCTTTCTGCTCCCCTGCTACAAGTTTAACTTTTAGTGGTTTAGTGGAAAACCCATTAGTTGGCAAAAGTTAAAGTCCTAACAGCCAAGCAAAATGAACCAAAGGGATGTCAATGTGAATCAGAGGCGGAACGGCTCCGATGGATCGCTTGAGCCAAGCGGCCCAATGCGCTCGCAGGACTGGTCCAGCGCCAGCCGCGACTGCAGCCGCCATCCGCGGGGGCGAGGACTTCGCAGGGCCGCGGCCATGGCTCGAGGGTTTGGGACGTGGCCGAGGGGGGAGGTCAACAGGTGGCTAGGTCCAGTGGAGAGCTTAAGGGTACCAACTTTTTTCTGTAGTCCTCCCCAAAAAAAGGGTAGAAGGGTACTACTGGGGGACCTAGAATGCCCATGGGTCATAACCACGTCTCAAAAAGTGGGGGGGGGGGACTCGCCTTGTTGGTGCAGTGAACAAAATCCAGGAAGCCAAACCATTTTTTTGGGGGGTCTCTTAGGAAACACTCATATGCAGGGGCACCTGAAATGAAATGTGAATTTTAGTAGAGACTCTTTGGACCTCAAAATTTGGTTGGCAAGTGCATGTCCACCTCAATCAGTTCCTGCTATGTCCCTTCATTCCACTTAATTTTCTGCATTTCACGTTGGAGGTCGCCGGTTGAAGTCGCCGCTTTGCCCCAGGTCTCTCCTTTCCGGTCGCCGCTTTCCTTGCGTCCCGGGCGTCTTGAGAGAGTTGCGCGCGGGGCGAGACAAAATCGCACCGCGCGAAGAGCCAGGATCAAACAGGTTTTGCTCAACCGCAGTTTATTCACCTGGGGGGGTTCTCAACAGGTTCTCAACCAACCATTTGGTTCTCAACAGATTTTGCTCAACCAACAGGTTCCCAACCCCATTTTTGGTTCTCAACACCCCACACTTTGTGGGGGTCGACCTGCCAAGTGGGGGTCAGCATGATGTCATTGAACCGGGGGGGGGGGGTTGAACCCATGAGCTGGTCATGTTGAATCATGGGGGGGTGCTCCCTTCCACAAGTGAGGATTCCCCACATGTTGCCCGATGACACCCCCCTATTCATTGACTGGGGTTGATTAATCTGGGGTTAGAATGCCAACGGCCGCACCGATTTATAGCCCTTGGACCGTCCCCGAGACTCACTGGGATTGATGGCTCGGTGAAGCTTGCACTCCCTGGAGTGTGACCAACTAACCCTGGCCACACAATGGTTTGAAATGGAAGGGTGCCCGTGCCCTCATTGTCCAGCAGTCCTTGTCTCAGGATTCAGAAAATCCCCGCGTTCTTTTGCATGGGTACTATGCAGGGATCACAAGTCATCCACGACATGCAGCATGAAGGTATGACGGTCCGTCTTGGACGTGGCCAAAAACGCGGGAACCTAGAAGCTGCACTTGGCAGTGGATAGCATATTCACCATGCTCGTGATATTTCATGAAACTGTTTTGGCAATGAATGGGGTACAGTAGGTGTCAAAATCAGGGCTATCCCTAACACAAATTGTGTGTTTTCCCTTACTTTCCTTTGAAGCAACCAAGAAAAGGGGTTACCCTCCAAAACGCGCACGCCCGCCAGGTAGCTTCACTGCGGTCTATGCCTCGGCTGGCGTCGTTACGGTCCAGGCGCTTGAAGTGAAGCAGCGCCGGCAGCACGAAGGCTAAGGCGGAACAGGCCTCGAGCAACATCGGCTGGTCTCAAACTTGGGATCCACCCGTACCCTTGTGTGTTGTGTTGTTGTGTTCCAAAAACTTGTGTTCCAAAAAGATACATGAGTTGTGCTCCTTTGTCTGTACCGCAATTTGCGTGTTCAAAAAAAAGCAAATGAGTTTGTTCCCCCTGTGTTTGCTTTCCCACAAAGACACACCCAAATCCAAAAGATTGAAGATTCTCCCAGATGTTCTACAGCCAGTGCCTGCGTACATGGTTTGAGCAAGTCGTGTGTTAACTGTTCATTGACAACGCGGCATGCCCGTAAAATATGCTGTGCTAGATTGCCCAACTATGCATAGTCATACCTGACCTTCCGGCTGCACCTTTTGTGTGCTCTGCTTCGCTCCCAAACTGTCTCTTCATTGTGTTCTTTTGTCCGGTTGCCCGTAGTCACCGCTTCACACACGCGCACACACACACATACACAACAGTTGTTCTTGCCAAAGAGCCAAAGCAAGGCCTGCCAAAAAGCCTACTAAAACTGCTGCGGAAACCTTTTTATCGCAACCGCATGCGGCGGTCTCTCTTTCTCTCTGTCTGTCAAACAAAAGGTGGTTGTTTTCCTTTAACGGGAAGCAACGAGACATCCACCGTTGGGATGGACAGCCCCGTTTTCAGACATACCCTTTGCTCACTGGGTTCAACACCTGCCGACCCCAACCGCAGAAATCCACTCGGCAGCAAAGCAAGGGGGGACGGTGTTCGGAGCCCAACCAAGATCCAAACCAAGCTTGGACTTGGATTGGTCTAGGGCCGGGCAGAGTGTCGTCCTTCGCAAGGAACTGATTCAACTCCCTCCAAAATAGCGATGAGATGTTGGAGATGCTTCTGTAGCAACGGTTTCATCCCCGTATCAATCCACCCCGGTTTTTGAATAGGGGTGGGGGCCCCTCGAAAAGTGGTCTGATTCCCCACATTTCACCCAGAAAAAAACCCTCCCTAAGGCTCTTTGGTATGTGGGCCCAGACCCGTTTTGAGCGCACGCGACAAGGTCTGAAACCCAACTGGCCACTGGCCGCAACGACACCCCTGCGCAGAACAAAATTATGTTTTTCAGATAATTCTAAAAAAGGCCAGGCGCTATGGGTGAAGGCTGGGCGGCTTGAGTCCACAGTGTTATCGCTAACGCGTCACCTGTTGTTTCGGATGTACTTGTGGGCTGGTGATGTGTCTTCACTTGTTTGGTATTTCGCAGCTTCTTGGCAGGAGTCCCTTGTTATCCCGTGTTTGCCAAAAGGTTGCTGACTTTGCTTGTTTGTGTGTGTGTGTGTCTGACAGGCCCATGAGCCGTGCAAAATTCCTTTGGTTACGCGCTATCGCTGCTATTGGCTTGCAATGGCGTAAAGTCACACAGTCTGTGTTTATGGGCCAGTTGAGTGCCGATTAGAACGGCGCGCGTCAAGTTCTGGCGTCGGAAGCACGTCGGGAAGCTAACGCTTGGGCCCTCAAAACTCGGCAAACCGAGGGCCCGCGAGGGCCCGAGCGTCGGAAAGCCGTCGGAAACGTCGGGAAGCCGTCGGAAACGAAACGTCGGGAAGCCGTCGGAAACATCAGGAAGCCGTCGGAAACGTCGGGAAGCCGTCGGAAACATCAGGAAGCCGTCGGAAACGTCGGGAAGCCGTCGGAAACGTCGGGAAGCCGTCGGAAACGTCAGGAAGACGTCGGGAAGCCGTCGGAAACGTCGGGAAGCCGTCAGAAACGGCGGGAAGCCGCCGGAAAGCCGTCGGACAGTTTTCAGAAACCGCGGAATGCCAGCATGAGTGAGAACGCCGTCGGAAAGCAGATGTCGGAAAGCCGTCCCAGATCTGTGTCTGCTAGGAAATACTTGGGCTTACCGATTTGTCCGTGGCAACTGAATCTTTTGCTTGCCGGCCAGGACGGTGTGCGGGCCAGTAACTGTCAAAGCGATTGTTATTGAATGATCGATAGTGTTTGCAGACGCCGAGCCGGGGCCCTCGCTACGAGGGGTCGTGTTTCTATGGCCCCTCGCCATTCTGTCCCTGAAAAACCCAATGCCAAACGACGCCCCGAAAAGAGTTGGGATCCTTAGGGCTGGTGAATAAGCAGAGCTGAGGCCCAGGCCAAAGAGCCGATGATGCCCAGGAACAGTCCGAAGTGGGGGATCTGCAGTCCTTCCGACTTGGTAACAGGTCGCAACACAACAAATTGCTTCGGTGTTCGTTTTTGGGTTCCCTTGAAACTACAGGGTTTTTAGAGAACACACACACCCTCTGCTGATGTTAAAATCAGAGAAGTTCTTGTTGGATGCTGTGGCTGGACAAAGTCTGCAAACGCACCAGTTGATTGGTGGTGGGCTTCATGCATCCCAACTAGTGCATGATTTTGTCCATCCTGCAACGAACCATCTGGAGAGGTTCCACACGCGACACGCTCCCATGGGAGCAACGGGCAAAAAAGTGAAAAAGCGACAACTTCCCGCCAAAGGACCCTGTAGCCATCCGCATCCTCCTGGGGCCAAGGCCTTTTCCGTCGGCCGGTTTGCGCACGTCACAATGGGAAGCTGTGCTGGTAGATTTTGAAGGCAGGCAAGGACTTTGGCAGAGCCACAACTATGTGGATGCCGGCTCCGATGTAAATCCCGCAGGATCTCACAGGGAAAGAACAATCACAGTTTAAAGTCTATACCCTCTAAACGCATGTGCATGCTGAATGTACCTGCAATGTTTGCAAGCTGGAAACTCAAGAAGTCGTGTTAGTGTTTATCTGTGTATTAAAAGCCGCAAAGATGTCAGCGGTCCCTTTCAAACGCACCCCCAAGTGCTGCTCCGATCTTTGCAGTCAGCCTCTTCTGGTGCAAACTGACGGAGAGACACACAGACCCCAATGCTGCCCCGCCCCACCCAAACCGGCTACAAAACATCGATCTCACCTCCCATCATGTTGACACTTAGTGACTTGCATGGCTTGACAATCCGAGCAAAAGGATTCTGTCCCATGAGGTGTGCAAATCTTTGCAAGGGGCAAGCTGCGCCAAAACCCGAGGCGTTCAAAGACGAATGCAGCCCCTGCCCGGACTTCCCCCATCCTATCACTCCGGTCATGATGACCAACCTTGGCAAGCCAGGCTCAGGGGGCTTTGCATATGAAACCACCGTGCACAAGGGCTGGGTACGAAATGAGTCCATCACCGTAATCGCAGTCCCATCCAAAACTCAGAAAGTTGCAAAGGTCCTGAAACAGGCAGTCTCGGTGCAATTCGTTGAGAAAGCTTCGGATTAAAATGGCTGAAAGATGAGTGAGTCATAAAGCACAACCTTGGCCGCAGAGGATCTTCCAACGTGACCCCAAGGTCAAGTGGTTTGTCTGCCCAAGTACAGGTGAAAATTGGGTCTGCCTTGTTTTTGCGCCCGCGTTTTGGGCTGTTTAAAAGGGACAACGAAGCAACATGTTCTCCCCTCTTTGAGACATATCCAAAATTTCGCGTTCCTGCTTCGTTCTGGAGGCTCTGAGGTGCAGTTTGCCTCATCCACAACTACTGGGGATGAACAAAATCCATTTCGCACCACTTTGAAACCATGGGAAACCATTGTTGGTTAGTATTTACAGGGAAATCATCGTTCCACGGTTTCCTAGGTGGTGCAGGATTTCGTCCTTCCACAGTATGACAACAACGTGTCTATCATCTGAGTCTGTGAAACAAGAAACATTACTAGGGAGGAAGGCATCCGTGTTCTGATTCGGTTTCCTCAGATTAAATCAGGAGCCTTGCGCGCAAACATCATGATGTTCAAGTGGTTCCATGCAAAACAGCACAGGAACCTTGCAGTGTCTGTTCGCCAAGATGCAAACAAACATAGCGGTGCAGAAGCCATCATGACGACATCCATGCACAAAAACACAACGGTAACGAACACTTTCGGGCAACTAGTGGGATATGAATTCTATTTCGGGGCGCTTTGGCGGACTTTATATACATGTTCTCTTTACCAACTGAGAGTGTTCTCCGAAACACACATTGCCAATCAGAGCCAGTGCCAAAATACGGGGACCCGCACATCCCTTTGAACCAATTCCACAAAGGGCAGCCTCCAAACATACAACGAGTTGGGCCGGGACCCTCTGGAGATCGTTTGGGAGGGGAGTCGTGTCCACCCACCACTTTTCAGGTGGTGCCCTAAAGTTCTTCGCCATTTGCCCATGGGTCTTTAAAAATTCCATCGTAGCCCCAGATCCCAATCCCCACTAACATAGGTACTCAGATGTGTGGTGCACCCCTCCCAAAATGGGACCAAAACGGTTTTGAACCATGGCCACATGTTGCCGCAAGCATGTTGCTGATGGAAAGAACTCAGTCTGGGTGACATCCTGTGAAGTGAACTCCATCTGATTCTGGGCTTTCAGAGAGACCGCCTGGGCGTCCCGTGCGTGGTGCGGAAGATGATGCGCCGCCAGCAGAAGCGTTGATCGCGGAGGCACCGGATCTTCCTGATTGTTTTTCCGGCCCAGACTTGGTACCTAGGTCCTACAGTTGAGAGCTTAGAGTTAGAAGAAGGGTACCCAATGTTTGTTTTTTTTTTCCCCGTGGTCTATTTTGGTAGGGGAACCCTCTCCCCAAAAGGGGTAAAAGGGCAGTACTGCCAAGACTTGCTTCCATTTGCTTCAGCACTCTGAAAAATCAAAAAAATGTCCGGCAGTGATAGATTCCCTTTAAAACTAACAGGGGAAGGTTAAACAACAAATATTATTGAGCAAATGGAAGCTTGGTACGTGTCGAGGGGCTTGCTCGCTCTGAGCGAAGGGAGGGACCCTGAACTGAACCATCCCTTGTGGTTCCTCTAAAGGAATCCCCGGTTCATTAATTGATTTCTCCAAGAGAATCCCCAGGTTCGTTCCCCAGACCCCCCCTCTTGATTCCCCGATGAGTACCAGCAAGTACAGCACCCCGCAAAATTGGCTGGAGCCGCTTCAGCCAGACGGAAATGAACCAGTGGAAAGCAAGATAAGACGAGTCCAGGCAAGTCCTGGAGGCCACTTCATTTTGGGGGGACGGAAAACCAGCAATGGCTGCGCGACATTCCTAAGAGGTTGGTTGGCCCTTTGGCGAACTTGAAAAGGTTACAAAGGGTGAGGACAAATACAAATGATCCGTTAAGAGAATTGGCTTCAGCAGAAGTGACAGCAACGCGTTGAGGGTCGAAAAACGGGCAAAACTGCTACCTAGGGAACTGATGGACAAATCTGCGGTCATGGTTCCTGAGAGACAGCAAGCAAGAATGCAATTCCCATGAGCAAGATATCATATCCCCTGTGCAAGTTGGGCACGACTTGCCGTGACGAAAACAACGCAACAAGGGGGGTATATCCTAGGCTGCAATTAGAACCCCAGCAAAAAAAAACTGTTTTGCCTGGGTAGTGGAAAACAAAGGGACCCCCAAAAAAGCAAAACAGCGAAAAGGGGAGCTAATTCTGGGGAAGCATCATGAGGCTTGTCATGCATCAGTCTGTGCACTCTTTCCTTTTCTTGGCACGTGAAGCTTTCCAAGGGCAAGGATTTCTGGCAAGCCACGCTTCGGTGATCTGGTACAGCGGGAACAGCATCACGGGGTACCTCAGACTGCTCTAGGCCCGGACAAGGCTAGAGCTGACAACATGTGCAAATGAGTCATACTCAAAACCCGGTATTAAAATGGTCGTAATCCCAGAACCATGTCAAGAATTAAGAAGGCGGCCGAAGCTATTTATGGCTGGGAGCATCCCTTACTAAGCCGGGTTTTGACTGTGGCTCAAATGATCATAGTTCCCAACCCGAAATAAGGATCCCAACCAAGTGACCTGGATGGGTGCTCGTCAGGATTTTCCCGAAGTGGCAAGCGTCTCGCCCATAAATCCTCTCCCTTTGCAGCCCCTACCGCAAGGGATGGTAAAAAAAAATAGCCCGAAGGCGCTGGCGTTCAGACCTTCCCCCATAAACCTGCGAGTTGTCAACCCGAGGGCGCCCTCTGGAAGTTGAGTTTGGGAAGCCGACCCCCGCTCCAAAGGGAACCCAAGGACTGGGGTCAGGGTTTGTCAGCTCTCGATGTCGGCTCAAAGCGGCGTGAAGAAGATGCCGAGGCCTCAGAGGCGTGTGCGGAAAAAACAAAACGCAAGGTTGAGGGTTCACAGTCCCCACGGGAAACTAGGTGTTTGCACATGTCTAGGGCTCGATTCCCCATTCTTTTCAACCATCGCTCTTCTCAAACACCAGCCGTCTTCCCTGGGATTCTGGAGGCTTTCTAGAAAGAAGGATCCCTAGAAAGAATGGGACAGGTACCCCTAGAAACCTGGGCATGTGCGCTTCCTTCGGCTCGTTTCACCCTCTCAAGAGGGAACCAGCTTTGGTCTCTTTCTGGCCCATCCACAAGCTCGAGCCGCCGAACCTGAACCTAGCAGCGTTCGCCTTGGATAGGTCGCCAGATCCCCGGAGATCCAACTTGCCCAACTGGCCGAGGCCGGGGCAATAAAAGAGCCTCAGGAAGGAGGTGATCTTGTTCTGAGGGATGTTGAAGGTAATCCTGCGACTTTCGACTTTCGCCTTGCGCCAAGCCTTTCTTTGCAAATTGCCGCAACGAGTGCTGCCGAGCGGCATGTCTTTGGTGTCAAGACCTACGGCTGGCATGTCCCATGGCTTCTCCACACCTTCGGCCCCTCAAAGTGCGACGTAACAGAAATGGGTCAAAATGTAACCACCAGACAAACAGCAGGTTGTAGTCCATGTTTCCACTTTGGGTACCTATGTTTGACCCACACCCGAATAAGTCCAATCCAGTTTCACCGCTGGCTCAGCTTCATTCTGAAGGCGAACCCATCTACGTGGCATGAGTTGGCCAAAATGCACACACCTGACACCCAAACCTGCTGCACCCTTGCGCAGTTTATTGTTCATTGGGGACCCGCTGGACATCATTTGCAAAGTGAGGTTATGCCCACCGAGCGCTTTGGAGGGTGTTCCTCAATCAATTCATTCATGGGGCGGCCAAGATCGTGCATGCGTTTTTGGCTCACTCAAGTTAGGTCTCAAAAGGCGCACATCACAACCCTCACTCCAAGAGGATCAGGTGCAGCGGCAGAAAGCCCCGCTGCCAACGGCTTGGAGGACTTTCCGGGCTGCGCAATGAGGCAGGGCGCTGAACTTTTGAAAGCGCTGCCGCAAAGTCATGCGACAGGCTTTGAGGCCAGTGGGTCTTCATGGGAACAGTCCGGTCTCTTCGCAGCAACAACTGCCTGCTCAGGATTCTATCGTGTGCAGTTTCAAAGTGAATCACAACAGGTGAGCTTTGGGCGACGTGAGGAACTAAGGTTCGGCAGGTAGAAATGCGGTGCTTGTCTCCTGAAAGATTGTGCTCGAGTGTCTCGCCAGAGGTGCTTGGCATGGCTCAAACGTTTGGATGCCATGAGCGGCAGAGGCAAGGCCGCGGGACAGACAGCTGCCCACCGAGCAAGTCGTGCTCGCAAGGCCGGCAGCTTTCGACGTGCCAAGGAAGTTGCACAAAAGAGTGTGCGGACCACTTTGCGGACGACAAATAGGAATCACCCTAAAATTAGTTGCGGGGTCCTTTTGGTGTCCCTTTCACTGAAAAGGTGTTCAACTCCGGCCGGCTGCTTCCCTCTTGGTGGTTTGAAGCCCTGGGTAGCTTTCCATGTCTTTACCAGGGCGTCAAATCAAAACACCAATCCAAAGTACCAAGGCAGACCTGACAAATTGCCTAGCCTCTTTTTTCCCGCTGGGCAGGATGCAAGAACTGTGCCGGCTTCATCCCTTCAACTTTTGTGCGTGCCCTCAGGCTGCGTCTGTTTGGTTGTGCCAGCGAGGTGCGCGATGTCAAACACCCCGTGTAAGGCTTGATGGACGCTTCCAAATGGAAAGCTGAAAGAGACCAAAGCACTGAGCTGCAGAGGCGTAAAGGGCTGGGTTCGGTGTCGGGCTTTGTTGTTCAAACAAAGGAACCTATCACGGCTTTCAAAATCCATGATGGGACTGCGTGGGGAACCAACTGAAACCAAGAGAGTGTGCGGTTGGCCCGGCTACCCTCGGCCGAGCTTGGGCCCGGGCCGTAGGCCGCGTAGCCGAACATCCCAAAGGACGCGAAGAGCGAGCCCAAGATGAACCTGGAGCCACAGAAAGGCCATCAGTCGCACTCTTGAAGCATGGTTTGGGTGTGGTGCAGTGGTGCCCTGTGTCCAAGGTACATGGATGGTCAGTGCGCACCGCGTCATCTGAAGAGAATCTTGGGGTCATAGTTGGCATAAATCGACATGAGCAAGGCCCATGCTCAATGCCAAGAGGCCGGTATACAGCACAGGATTCTGCGAGAACCAAACGGTTGCCCCTGCCGGGATCTACGCAAAGATCCCCAAATCAGCAAACCTCACCCAGGACCACGAAACCTCACCCGAGTTTCACCCAAACCTCAAAAGGAGCGCCAACCCCTACTCATAGGAGTCCCCTATGTGCCAAATCCACTCAGTGGCTCTATGTCGCAAACTTCAAATGACACCCTTGAAAGTTGCATTCTAGACAGCTTGTTATTGTTTAATGAAACACCTTAAGCTCTATGCTATTTCGTAGCTTAGCCTAGCCACGTACACCCAACATCTGCTATGCTGGTATACTTGATCCACAAGTACCCAAGACTAGACAAAGCCTCCTAAGAAGTGTCGGCTTCCTAACGTGCCTTTCAATTTGGCGTGGGCTTGACTACTACCCTTGCAGGTGTCAATTTGAGAAGATCGTTCCTGTCACTGGGATCAAACCAGCACCCTCCTGCTTCTTTCGCGAACACCACGCTTGCAGCCTGATGAATCTGTTTTCACGAAGGTCCGAATCTGTTCCGGTCCCCAATGAAGGGCCGTTCGCCAGAGCTCCGATCTCCCGCCACCCCCCCCACCCCCCACCCTCCCCTCGCCCACTCAACCACTCGTTCTCCGGCGATAAAAAGCGGGGCTCGGGCATGGCTCTTCGCAGGATCTTCGGGAACTGCGTGGGCTGCCTCGGATGAATCCATCTACTGGCACCCTTGAAACGGGACACTTGCCAAGATGGTCCAGTCAAGCATCAAACCAAGGTACCACTCTAAAAATCAATATGAAAAAACAAAAACGCCAGGTACAATTCTAAGAATCCATGTGAGGAAAAATATGATGCAAGGCTTCGCGTTGCTTTGCCGAGGCAGTCTGCAAGCCTATGAGAAGCAAACAAGGGGTGTGCAACTTCCTGTGGCTCAACGTCTTTCCCGGCCAGGCTGCTGCATGGCAAACTGGATGGGCAGAATCAATCCTCAGGCGAGGGGGCGGCCTTGTATCACTCAAGAATCATGTGGAAAACTAGGAGAAATGATGGAGTCGACCAACACATGCATGTGATAGTGGTCACCGGTGAACATCTTGCACGGGCACATGGGCGCGGGGCGATTTTTGTTATTCTGTGTCAGAATCAATGTCGTGCATTCGTTTGCACTGCTTGCAGAGACCCGCTAGCTATCTACAACAACAGCAAAGCTGTAAGCTGTTCCTTCCCTATCCCAAAATACCGTGCTGTGCCATGAACTTGCATCATACGTAAACTGACATTCAAGGCTGCCCAAACCATTCGAGTATCTCGGTCCTCCAGTAGAGAGGGTAGAATACATTTTTATTTTTGTTATTTTAGTAGGGGAACCCTCCCAACCAAAAAAGTTGGTAAAAGAAAGGGCACCTAGCTGGGGGACTTGGTCCAAGATGGCCTCTATCCGAGGTCTGCGCCAACGCCCTCGAAGGAGAACACGGCACCTCAGCGTATGCCGAGTGCCCTACCGATTTCGTGAGCTCACTTCGCCGCCGATTCGGGGTGAGCTCGCCACATGGGCAGATAAAGAACCGAACGGGTCCGTCATCCATCTCTCAGGCCGACGGAATAACTCTGATAGTTTGGACATGTGTCAGCTTCCCACTAGTTATTTTGATTGGGTGGTTGGGTGTTTAAAGGTAGTTTCTCATTTAGCTCTCTACAAGACCCAGGGCTTCAACTCCAAACCACCAATCCAAACCGGTTGCCAGAATGTGGGGGCAGCTCTGTGCTTGGAAAATGCATCAAGCTCTGCCGGGCCACATCCGAAAAACACGGGGAACTCGGCCCAGTTGAAGAGGATGACGTTGGGCGAGATGCCGTGCAAGCCTCAGGCGGCGGCTTTCGTTTTTGTTTTCACTCGGGAGCTCTGTCTGATGTCAAGGCTGCGCGAGGTGAGAGAACCGCCTTGGTGAGTAGTGTTGCCTCTACAATTTCTGCCTCGAAAACCATCGCAAATGGGTCGCGTTTATGAAATGGACAGCTGCCAGCCGTCAAGTGGGACTCCAGTCTCGCCAAAAAACAAAATTCCTGCCAGCTTGCATGATTCTTTAAAAAAGGAGATGCACTTTCCGGAGGGGTGTCTGTTTTTCAGGGGAGACGCCCCAAAAATGGGTCCGGTGCTCCTTTCGGTTTGCTCTCAAAACCACTAACAAGCATAGGTGTCCTTTTGGGAAAATAGATGGCCCTGCTACATGAAGTGATACCAATCTAAACCGGTGCCATCTATTTCCAAGCGGACTAACCTAAAACGGACACCTATGCAAACACGTGTTTCACCCTCCAGCGAAGCCGCCCGAAGCTTGTGCGAAGCCGAGGCGCCCAGCTGCACGAAGCAGCAGTAGTAGACCCAGGAGATGCCGCACCTCGGTAACCGGAGGTCAAAGGGTTGGCTGGTCAAAACCGTTTTGGGATCCCATTCTGTGGCAGGTGAACCACCCATTTTGGAACCTATTTTAGTGGGGAGTGGGATGTTCACTAGGGGTACGGGCTGTTGACCCATGACCAGTTGGGACGCAGGAAATTCAACAGGAGAAAACGGCCTATTTAGGAAGTGTTTTGGGCTCATGTCCTGCAGAGGATCCGGGATCCGGCAGTTGCGGCCGGTCGTTTTTCCAGAAGAGACACATCTCCTTTTCTTTCTTCTTTGGATGAGAAACTCGTGGGCCCCTCCAAATGCTTGACCTTGACACATGGGCACCTCGGCATGGGGAACAGTGTGCCCCAGGTTGACAATGGCCGCAGGCCTCTGAGGATTGCTGCAGATCATTGTTTTCATTGACGCACCATGCTGCAACCTTTTCTAAGAGGGCGCCTTGGTTAGATGCCACGTAACATAGCTGTTGCAAAACCGACACACTATTCAGCTGTGCTGCTCGCTAACAGTAAATTACATGTCTTGGACTGAAGGTATCCCAAACATTCCCGACCCTGAAACTCGTAGCACCTCCGCACATGGCTTTCGTTTCCCCTCCATCAGGGGTCACTGGACATCCCCCGATTTCCCCGTCAAAGGTGAACCCCACTTGTGGGCAACGCTCGGCCCCAGGCAGCAGCACGACGTTGGACATCAGCACCGGCACCGTAAGCACCTGCGCAAAGGAACGGCGGCGGTTGCTTCAGTGTAACTGAAGTATGAAGCCCTAGGCCCGAAATGTTTGTGGCCTGGCAGAAGTTCATGAACTTCGATCCAAGCCATCGGACGCTGGAAACGTGTCACCGGCGTTGGAGCTACAAATGGCTGAGCTATGTTGATACATATATATACAAAGATATATGTATGTGTTTATTTCTGCTTCTTGCAGGAAGTACAAACGGACCTGGCGAATACGAATCCAAGCTCGCGAAACCTGCGATGGGCGATCGAATTGCAAACTGCAGTCCGCGTCAATGAAACCGCTTGGGAGTCATCGGGTTATGCTTGAAGTCCAAAACGGTAGGACCCGAACAGGAAGTGTGACCGTCTTCCTCTAGCTGTTGAGCTGCATGGGCCCAGCACAAAAGCCAATCCATGCAGTGATGCAGCCCATTGAGCTGTTCAATCAAGGTTCCCTTTTAAAGTGGCGTTAAAGAAAAAACCGAAAGCAAACCACCATCGTCTTGCGCGGACACATGCTCACGTATTGGCCTTGGAATGGTTTCCCGTTCAAACAATCCAAGGAGGGGAGGCAAAATCTTGGCCCACAGCTGGGGTAGTCCAAAAAAGCATCATATTTAGCCTACCCTAAGATTGAAAAATAGAGATGGAAACCCCAGAAATGTGTCTTTACCGTGGCATGGGCTTCCGCAACTCGGGGAGCTCCGCTTTCCCCCCGCCCCCCAACCCTAGTTGCCTGCAAAGAGCGAAGCCAGGTGACAGGCAGCACACAGATCCTGGGAGCCACTTCAGTCTCTTGGCTGCGGAGGCAGCTGTCGGGATGTTATACCTCCATTTGCCTCAGAATTATTTTTGACTTTTCCCTTGTTGGCTTTTAAAAGGAACTCATCACTACTGGAAATATTTCTTTTTTTCCCGGGGCCTTAACCAAATGGAAGTTATTGTATCCATGGGGTGTCATTTTTTTTGAGGGTACCGTTTTTGGGGCGGGTGTGAAGGGAAACCAAGAGGAAACCCACCATTCTGAGGCTTTCGCTATTCTAAGATGCACCCATACGTGTGTCAAAATGGGGGGGCGCCTTCTTGGTGGGTGTCCATGAAAGCAACCTGAAAAGGGTAGCCTCAAAAAGCACCAGGGGGTGGTTCAGAGGAGCAAGGTGCCAGGCAAAGCTTTGCCACTTCTCTTGAGGTGACATGGAGTAGGTCCTCCAGATTTGAGAGGTTAGAATCAAGGTACCAACTTGTTCTGTGTATTTTAGTAAGGGAACCCTCCCCACAAAAAGAGGGGTAACTTGTTTGTGTTTATTTTAGTAGGGGAACCCTCCCTTCCAACCAAAGAAAGGGTGAGAGGTCGGGCATTCGCTGGGGGAGCTGGTGCAGCTCCTCGCCCTCAACACTGAAGTGGCGTCTTGCGCTTTCGCTTTCGCGAGCTCAGCGCGCTGGCTCAAAAGGAACCACTCGGTCCATCTTATTTTTATTCTGAAGGGGGGGGGATCCAGCTTTTGGTACCGAAGCTATCAGAACTGGCCAAACAATTTGGGCGGGTGTTTTTGGAGGGCTCCTTCTCAGGTGGGTTTGAACGGAAACCAACCGGAAAAATGACACATTTCAAACTCGACCGCGTGGGCAAGCCTGGCCCATCCCGAAACCCCGAGCCGTTTCCCTCACAATGCGCGAGGTAAAGACACAGGCTCCGGGCGCTCGATTCGCTCTCCGGAAAAGCCGTGGGGAGCAAAGGGAGGAGTGAAACTCCCTTCGCGGTCACTTGGCTGTGGGTCAAAACCAATGGTACCATTTGGGGGTGAGTGCACCACCCATTTTAGAACCTATTTTAGTGGGGAGTGGGATGTTCACTGGGGGTACGGGATTTTGACCCATGGCCACTTGATTTCAAACGGACATGCCATTCTGGTTCTGTTCAAAATGAGTCGCAAACAACACCATGTGCCGGGATATCTCTGAATCCTTCGTTAAGACTCGTTGCTTCGTGAATGAGGGCTTTGGGTCATGTAATTTTGTAGCATTCATTCTGGAGTCTTCCCATGGCCTTCCTGTAATCTTCCTATCTTCCCATAATCTTCCCGTAGTCTTCTGGTAGGCTTCCTGTAGTCTTCCCGTAATCTTACGACTACATTCAGAAATTCACAAAACAGCTTTTCCTGAAAAGGGGATTTGTTTGGGCTTCGTTCTGGCCTCCAAGACCTTCTCGCGCCCTGCAAAAGCCGCCGAACAAGCGATGAGGCTACCTCTTTTAAAAGACTCGCCTTCGTTTTGGGCTGTTCCACTCCATATCCCATGCACCAGCCTTTCCAGCGGTAGCTCAAATGGAGAGTGGACCATCCCTGTATGGACACCACGGAACAATATGGGTTTCAGAAAGCCAGCTTGCGAAGACTGGGAGATTCAAACTGAACGGTTGAACATCCTGGTTTGCTTACGTTGATTCGAATGAGCTTTTTTGTGCCAGGTTCTTGCCTGTCCACGTCCATTCCTGCGTGGTGCCAGGAGTTGACTTAGCTACGTGGGCTTCTTGCTTGTGCCAGTTGCATCAGTTTCGGGCTTCTGTATCTGCAGCTCAACCGCCCCGCTTTGATTGCCTTGGTGTTTTGTATCTTTTGAGGGAACCCGAAACAAGAGGTGGCGTCCCTTTGGTTCTGCGTTGAAACAACTTAGAAAGACACACCCACCTCCAGCCGAGCAGCAGCGTGCCAGCACACACCGCAGCCCTGCTGGGACAGGCCGCTTGGGCTGTCTCTACGCAGACCACGTCCCGGACATTTTCCACCTCCGAGTCGGAGGGCTGAAGCGTGTGATTTTTTGTTTGGGGGGGACCCCTTGGTGGACATCATTCAGGGGAAAATCATGCTCACCAACCATTTTCAAGAAGGTTTCCCACTGAAAGTCATGGCCATGTCACCATTCAGAATTCCGGCCACCATTTCTTTCTAAGCGAGATGATGACATGGGTAGTCTCAAGTCAGATACAGTCCGGTCAATCTCCCTAGGTGACGCTCATTTGCAAGCGATACAAGGCTCGGAAAGCAATCCTGCGCGTTGGGGCGAACTGGGCGCGTGTCAGATTCTGGTTCGGGCAACTGTCTCAACGCACCCTGTCATTCGTCTGCAACAAGGGATCCCAAATGAATCAACGGACCTTCCGTGGGTGATGTTAGTTTACCCCAGACCTGGTGCCTGGACTTTGCAGTGTCTTCACTGGATCCACTCATGGCTTCCGCCCACATTTGCTCACTGGAACGGACTCAGCCGCGGGCAATAAAAATGATGTCCTCAGCTAAGGACATGCATCTGCCACACAGCCTGCTCCACCAGGCAGCACATGCACTGCTGCGAGAATTATCAGCGAATACCGCATCATGCTACACTAGGACCTCCGGTTAGAATCAGGGTACCCTTTTGAGAAAGGGCACCTAGCTGGGGGACCTAGTATATGATTGCACTCAACAAAAACCAGGGCTCCGTCACAGAAACGCCGCACCGACTCCAGCAGGCACCACGTCTATCCAACTTCCGTACCCGACTGGCTGCTTGCCCAGCGTCCGCAATGGCAAAGCCGTATTGCGTCAGAATCAGGCAGCAATCGACGAGGATCTTTGCCTGCCAGTTTGGCTTGCGAAGCATCTTCATTTGAGTCAAAATCAAGCCTGAGAGCGTCAAGAATCAGAAGGGCGGCCGCACCTATTGGTGGGACTGCCACGGATCCGCATGATTCCGAGTCTGACATCCAGCCCCCCCGAGGTTTCGAGGGAAACCTGTGGCAATTTCAAGGCCTGGATGATCACTTCAAGTCAGAAATCCCAAAACCCTTGAGGTCGCGTCTGAAGCATGCTAACATATTAGTTTCCCTGTAACCATGCTTTCAATCTTCATGTTGACCACTCTTTCTCATAACTCCCCCAGTTCACAACCAGGAAGGGGCCAACTGGAAGAGATAGGAATCCCCACTCAGTTTCTTGATCCGGGGAATTCCCCCCTCGATGGCATTTGGCTTCTCCAAATTCGGCCCAAGGTGCTCGTCGGCCCAAGATGTTGGAGGCCAGTGCCCCAAAGGACCTGCGCAGGCATGCCCGGCACGGCTTCATGGTGTCAAAAATCAAAACGGGGGAGGTGGTGGTTTCTCTTTTCGTCAACTCAAGGTACCTCAAAAAACACGCAAACAAAAACACACGAACAAAAACAAACAAACAAACAAGCAAGCAAGCAAGCAAACAAACAAACAAACAAATTACACCAGCATAGACCCCTCAGATAGCGAAACGTGTGCCAACGATAGTACGCCAGCACCTCTAACAGCACTGCCCGAAGAGCACCTCAACCAACACCAAACAGCATCTCAAAAATATTGTAGCACCTGCACAAGAATCCCCAAATCGCATGCCCCCTAGCACCCTGCCGTCAATCTCGCAACAACACCCCTGGCCGTCACCAGGCCCCCAAAAATAGTATTTGCACCAGCCGTCAATCTCGCAAAAAACGCCACGCTCGTCACCAGCCCCTCAACACCATCCGCACCATCACCCCGAACAGCACCCCCAAACGGCACTCCCAAACCACCCGGCTGTCAACACCGTCACCAGCACCTCATCTCAAAACACCACCTGCGCCAGCACCCCAAACTGCATGCCCCCTAGCACCCTACCGTCGATCTTGCAAAAGTGTGCCCGCACCGTCACCTGCACACCCCAAAACAGCACCTGCACCAGCACCCAAACTGCATGCCCTAGCACCCTGCCATTGATCCAAATAAACTGCGCCCGCACCATCACCAGCTCAAACAGCACCCTAAACAGCACCTACACCAAAACCCCACACTGCATGCCCCCTTAGCACCCAGCCGTCAATCTCGCAAATCACTTCCCTTCTTTATTAGAAGTTAGAACCCCTGAAGCTTTCAGCTATCTGGGGAACAAACAAATTACACCAGCAGAGACCCCAAACAGTTGAGGGCTGACGGGCGAGCACAAACATGCCAACAGCTTGTGGCTTTCTGCGCTTCAACACGGATGAATCAAAATGATGCAGTCGTGAACCTGGCGCGCGTTGCGTTGCTGCACGTGTGTTGCTGGCGTGCTTCGCGCTTCAGCACCGCGCCAGAACTGAGGTTGGGCAAGCGCGCGCGATGGCGGGCGAGCGCGCGCGCGTGAACGCAAGTGTGGCCGCGCAAGCACGCAGTCACATGGGCAGTTCAAACACACATGTCCAATTCAGACACACATGTGTGTACACGTGGAACACACATACGTATACGACTGAAACAGTATACATTCACCTGCGGCACACGCATAAATGTGTTGAGCTGGAAAACAAACATGTGCTTCTTGGAAAGCACACACACACATGTGCAAACGTGGAACGCACATATGTGTTCACTTACGACACGCTAATGCGTTCACGTGGAACACACATGTGTGTTCACTTGGAACACAATGAAACGCGTGTCCAATTCAGACACACATGTGTGTACACGTGGAACACACATGCGTTCACCTGGAACACAAAGACGCGCAATTAAAGCACACATGTGTGTACGCGTGGGACACACATATGTATACCACTGGAACACAAACATGTGTCCACCTGGAACACCGCGTGTGCGATTAAAGCACACATGTGTGTACATGTGGAACACACATATGCGCACACGTGAGCAAACATAAATGCTCACCTAAATCGCACACACATGCGCGCACCTCGAAAACAATCATGCGTTTTCTGGAGCGCATACATGTGCACACCTGGAGAGCAAATATGTCGTCAGATGCCAAAAAAAGTTCACCTAGCACATACTAATGTGTTCACGTGAAACACACATCTGTTCACCTGGAACACAAACACGTGTCCAATTGGAACACACATGTGCGTACACGTGGAACACACATATGTGCACACGTGAACACGCATATGTGCACACGTGAACACTCACATATATGTGCACCCGGAACACACACCCGTGTGCTCATCTGATAACAACCATGTGTTCTCCTGGAACACAAACACGTGTCCAATTGGAACACGCATGTGTGTACACGTGAACACACATATGTGTACACGTGGGGGACGCAAATGCGCACACGTGAACACACACACATGTGCACACGTGGAACACACACATGTGTACTGCACATGTGAACACACACATTTATGCGCGCGCGGAAAACACAGACACACACGAGTGTTCATCTGATAACAAACACGTGGTCTCCTGGAACACAACCGTGTGTCTAATTGGAACACAACCGTGTGTACACGTGAACACACATATGTGTACACGTGAACACACACATATATATATATATATATGCGCACCCGGAACACACACACACGTGCGTTCATCTGAAAACAAACATGTATTCACCTGAAACACAAACACGTGTCCAATTGGAACAAACATGTGTGGACACATGAACTCACAAATGTGTACATGTGGAACACACATATGTGTGCAAATGAACACACATACATGCGCACGCGGAGCAGACACACACACACACACGCGTTCATCTGATAACAAACATGTGTCCTCCTGGAACACAAACACGTGTCCAGTTGGAACGCACATGTGTGCACGCGCGAACACACAATGTGTGCCGTGAACACACATACAAAAAAGTGCACGCGGAGCAGACACACACACACACGTGTTCATCTGATAACAAACATGTGTTCTCCTGGAACACAACCGTGTGTCTAATTGGAACACAGACGTGTGTACACGTGAACACACATATGTGTACACGTGAACACAGCACACGTGGAACACACACATGTGTACTGCACATGTGAACACACACATTTATGCGCGCGCGGAAAACACAGACACACACGAGTGTTCATCTGATAACAAACACGTGTTCTCCTGGAACACAACCGTGTGTCTAATTGGAACACAGACGTGTGTACACGTGAACACACATATGTGTACACGTGAACACACACACATATATATGCGCACCCGGAACACACACACACACGTGCGTTCATCTGAAAACAAACATGTATTCACCTGAAACACAAACACGTGTCCAATTGGAACACACATGTGTGGACACGTGAACACACAAATGTGTGCACGTGGAACACACATATGTGTGCAAATGAACACACACACATGCGCATGCGGAGCAGACACACACACACACACGTGTTCATCTGATAACAAACATGTGTCCTCCTGGAACACAAACACGTGTCCAGTTGGAACGCACATGTGCGCACGCGTGAACACACAATGTGTGCACGTGAACACACATACAAAAAAAGTGCACGCGGAGCAGACACACACGCACGTGTTCATCTGATAACAAACATGTGTTCTCCTGGAACACATACACGTGTCTGATAAGAACACACATGTGTGTACACGTGAACACACATATGTGTACACGTGCAACACGCATATGTGCGCACGTGAACGCACATATGTGTACATGTGGAACACACATATGTGCACACGCGACACACACACACACATATATATATATATATATGCGCGCCCGGAACACGCACACACACACATGCGTACACCTGGAACACATATGTGTGTATGTCTGGAAAGCACATTTCTGTTCACCTGCAACACACATATGTGTTCACCTGGAACCCATATATGCGCTCACTTGGAACAGGCATTTGTGTTCACGTGCGACACTGGTGCAGACCTGGATCACACAAGCATGTTTAACCAGAACAAACTTCTGTGTTGACTTGTAACACACATATGTGTACACATGGAACACACGTGTGTGCACATGTGGAGAAACATGTGCAACACAAATGTGCAACACACATGCGTTCACCTGGACAACAAAAATGTGTTCACATGGAATTTACATTTCCTGCACGCCTGGGCGACACATAAATCAAGTTCCCGAAGCCGGCTGTGAGGCGCTATTCCATGGGGCTCTGCCTTGAACAACGCTTGTGTTTTATATGCGTGTTCCAAGTAGGAAAATAGTGTTCGTGTACGATCAATCTAGCTTTTTTGCAACACATTGCTAGCGCGCGAGCTGCTGCTGCTGCTGCTGCTACTACTGCTAGTACTATCAGTATCGGATGCGTCTCCAGCAGTTACAGGCTTCAGCTTAGCAAAAGCTTTCCGGCGCATTGCGCTTCTTTCTCGCTTAGCTGCACAGTGTCTTTCGTATCGATTGCTAAAGTGCTTTGATCGTATTGTGGCAACTCTTCGTATCGATTCAGTAAAGCATTTGCTTTCGCAGGGAAATACGCAACCCAATTCTTCCGTATGCTCGGTACAAGGCATCCCTGCCGTCTTGCCTCAGCCGTTGTTTCTCCCCTTTGTCCAGCAAATCGCACTCCATGATAATTGCATGCGAGGAGAGCGGAAGCAAATTTGGATTGAAGCGTAACTGGGAACCGGTCACAGCTGACCACTGCGCTAGCGCCTTGCTAGCGCGCGGCTAGCGCGGGTTCGCCGTATTTTTTGGAGTCACGGCGACCATCTGTGTGGATTTGACAAATTAAGGCCACGTAAGATGAAGGTAAACGTGCGGGCTGGCTTCAAGTACTAAGTAAGAACTGCAACATTACACCCTTGAAAGCCACGCAAAGCCCATCGCGGCAACCCACGCGCCAACTCTTGGAAACCAAGATCACCGAAGACCCTAGCGCAAACCAAGCGCCATCCTAGCGCCTCCAGTGGGGAGCGGGCAATCCATTGGTATTTGCAGGACTCCGCTTTGTGTGAATGAAAAACTGCACAAAGTGACTGCGACGGTGGCCTCTGTAGACTAAACCCCCTTACTAGGAATTTTGACCGGATCGCATATGTGTTTTATCAGAACAATCGCATGCTTTCACCTGGAACACAAACATGTGCTGACGTGGAACACACTCATGTGGTCACATGCAAAAAGTGCGTGTTCACTTGGAACGCGCCGATGTGGTCAGCTGGAACACACCAAGAACACACAATCATTTACTTGAAGCACTCGTACGTGCATCCGCAGCATGCTGCCTGTGGCTTGATCAAGCGCACGCGCGCGCTCAAACACACGTTTCTGAGCCTCAAACACACATGCGTGCCCGCGGAATACACCGCGAATGACCAGGGAGCCGTGCCAGGCATCCAGGCTGGGGGACAACAAGAAGGAGACAAAGGGAGACAAATGAACCCGTCCGCCCGGAGAGCCGTGCCAGACATCCAAGCTGGGAGACAAACGAATCCGTCCACCCAGAGAGCCGTGACAGGCATCCAGGCTGGGAGACAACCGGGGCCAAATAAAGGGAGACAAAGGGAGACAAATGAATCTGTCAGGCAAATGAAGGGAGAGGAACCCGTCCGCCGGGAGAGCCGGGACAACCCCAGGTGCCAAGAGCACCACTGGGTATCTCGGCGTAGGTTCGTTGAACATCATCAAAGAATCGATAGACGATTTAACTCCAGCGTGATTCACGTTTGTTTCACCGGGGGGTTAACAGAGCCTTCTCGTAGCTGAAGCCGTGCACCGCAGCGCACCGCTCTCGTCAGCTCGGGACTCCAAATGCGAGCAAGGACAGAGAGAGGCCGCAACTGATAACGAGGCACTGAACGAACAGACAGGGTGTAGCCAACGATAGACAAGGAAGACGACCCACCACGAGCCCAAGCAAAATCGAAGTCCAGATGAAGGGCAGACAGAGGACCCTGTCCCCAACATCCACAAGACAAGGAATGACCGAAGCCAGGGCCGAAGCCGAAGGCAAACCAGACCCCGCCAAAAGGACAGAACCGCGGGAAGTGAAGGAAACCGCGGAGCGTGAGTGCCACACATCCAGGCTGGGAGACAACGGGAGACAAATGAATCCGTCCACCCAGAGGGGCATCCAGGCTGGGAGACAACGGGAGACAAACAAAGGGAGACAAAGGGAGACAAATGAATCCGTCCACCCAGAGAGGCATCCAGGCTGGGAGACAACGGGAGACAAATAAAGGGAGACAAAGGGAGACAAATCAATCCGTCCACCCACAGAGATGGGAGACAAATGAAGGGGAACCAAGGGAGACAAGTGAATCCGTCCGCCTGGAGAGCCGTGACAGACATCCAGGCTGGGAGACAACGGGAGCCAAATGAAGGGAGACAAAGGGAGACAAGTGAAACTGTCCACCCAAAGAGCCGTGCCAGGCATCCAGGCTGGGAGACAACGGGAGACAAATGAAGGGAGACAAAGGGAGACAAGTGAATCTGTCCGCCTGGAGAGCCGTGCCAGACATCCAGGCTGGGAGACAACGGGAGACAAATGAAGGGAAACAAAGCCCAGAGAGCCGTGCCAGACAAATGAAGGGAGACAAAGGGAGACAAATGAACCCGTCCACCCAGAGAGCCGTGCCAGGCATCCAGGCTGGGAGGCAACGGGAGACAAATGAAGGGAGACAAAGGGTGACAAATGAACCCGTCCACCCAGAGAGCCGTGCCAGGCATCCAGGCTGGGAGACAACGGGAGACAAATGAAGGGAGACAAAGGGAGACAAATGAACCCCTCCACCCCAGAGAGCCGTGACAGGCGTCCAGGCTGGGAGACAACCGGGGCCAAATAAAGGGAGACAAAGGGAGACAAATGAATCCGTCAGGCAAATGGAGGGAGAGGGAGACAAATGAACCCGTCCGCCGGGAGAGCCGGGACAACCCCAGGTGCCAAGAGCACCACTGGGTATCTCAGCGTAAGGTTCGTTGAACATCCTCGAAGAATCGATAGAGGATTTAACTCCAGCGTGATTCACGTTTGTTTCACCGGGGGGTTAACAGAGCCTTCTCGTAGCTGAAGCCGCGCACCGCAGCGCACCGCTATCGTCAGCTCGGGACCGCAACTGATAACGAGGCACTGAACGAACAGACAGGGTGTAGCCAACGATAGACAAGGAAGACGACCCACCACGAGCCCAAGCGAAATCGAAGTCCAGATGAAGGGCAGACAGAGGAGGACCCTGTCCCCAACATCCACAAGACAAGGAATGACCGAAGCCAGGGCCAAAGCCGAAGGCAAACCAGACCCCGCCAAAAGGACAGAACCGCGGGAAGTGAAGGAAACCGCGGAGCGTGAGTGCCACACATCCAGGCTGGGAGACAACGGGAGACAAATGAATCCGTCCACCCAGAGAGCCGTGCCAGGCATCCAGGCTGGGAGACAACGGGAGACAAATAAAGGGAGACAAAGGGAAACAAATGAATCCGTCCACCCACAGAGATGGGAGACAAATGAAGGGGAACCAAGGGAGACAAGTGAATCCGTCCGCCTGGAGAGCCGTGACAGACATCCAGGCTGGGAGACAACAGGAGCCAAATGAAGGGAGACAAAGGGAGAAAAGTGAATCTGTCCACCAAAAAAACAGTGCCAGGCATCCAGGCTGGGAGACAACGGGAGACAAATGAAGGGAAACAAAGGGGTGCCAGACATCCTGGGAGACAAAGGTAGACAAATGAACCCGTCCACCCAGAGAGCCGCGCCAGGCATCCAGGCTGGGAGACAACGGGAGACAAATGAAGGGAGACAAAGGGAGACAAATGAACCCGTCCACCCAGAGAGCCGTGCCAGGCATCCAGGCTGGGAGACAACGGGAGAAATCAAGGGAGACAAAGGGAGACAAATGAACCCGTCCACCCAGAGAGCCGTGCCAGGCATCCAGGCTGGGAGAGAACGGGAGACAAATGAAGGGGACAAAGGGAGACACATGAACCCGTCCACCCAGAGAGCCGTGCCAGATCCAGGCTGGGAGACAACGGGCGACAAATGAAGGGAGACAAAGGGAGACAAGTGAATCTGTCCACCCAGGCATCCAGGCTGGGAGACAACGGGAGACAAATGAAGGGAGACAAAGGGAGACAAATGAACCCGAGCCGCGCCAGGCATCCAGGCTGGGAGACAAATGAAGGGAGACAAAGGGAGACAAATGAACCCGTCCACCCAGAGAGCCGTGCCAGGCATCCAGGCTGGGAGACAACGGGAGACAAATGACAAAGGGAGACAAATGAACCCGTCCACCCAGACTGGATCATCCAGGCTGGGAGACAACGGGAGACAAATGAAGGGAGACAAAGGGAGACAAGTGAACCCAGGGAGACAAACGAACGCGTCCACCCAGAGAGCCGTGCCAGGCATCCAGGCGGGGAGACAACGGGAGACAAATGAAGGGAGACACAGGGAGACAAATGAACCCGTCCACCCAGAGAGCTGTGCCAGGCATCCAGGCTAGGGCTTGGCAACAGGCGAGCCACCTTAAATGAATTTAGAACCCCTCACAGTAAACTGTTTGGGGAACAAACAAACAAACAAACAAACAAACAAACAAACAAACAAACAAACAAACAAACAAACAAACAAACAAACAAACATAACAAACATTACTGAACCACACCCACACACACACACCCACACACACACACACACACGCACACACACGTGCTTCCATGTTTCAAATTCATGGTGCTGTAGGGAGCCCTGACCAAGAGCACCGCTGCCCAAGACTACACTCATGAGCTGAAAGATATTTGTTTGAAACAACTGGGATAGCGTCCACTTGGAGTGCAGCTCCTCGGATTCCGTTTTTTGGGAATGAGCCCGGTCCTGCCAAGGTTCGTGTCACATCGCAGTGAAACATGCACCGAGAATGTGGAAGGTGCCCTCTGGAGGCACACCGTGCCCTCTTTAAATCTTTCACGACAAGGCTATCGTGCTACAACCCTCGGTTTGTCTGATGGTCACTCCCCAAACATCGAGGGCGATGAGCTTTTGACGTCTCGGAATTCTCCCTACACAAGCCGCGCAGGACCGTGCCGAGTTGGTGCCAGGTCAAAACCAGGTAACTCTTCCGAGGGAAACTTCATGACTTTGACGCAACCCATGGTTTCCCCATCCATGCCTCGTGCTGGTCCGCGTTGCCAACTTCAGCAGAAGGCCCATGCCTGAAGCTGAAATCGGTGACCAGAAGCTGAGAGGATGCTTGCGAGGCACAGTTCAAACCATTCGCCGGCGCCCTGGCCGCGCGTTTCTCTACGGGCTTCCGAGTGATTCATGCCATTGCGCTCCGCGCATGGCTGGCCAGCCACAGGCAGCTGCAGGAGGGTTCGAGGCTGCGTTGACCTCCCACAAGTAGCGCCCAGAAGTGGCTGCGTGCGCCAGTCTCATCTCTTCAATACCGCAGCCTTCGCAGCAGTGTAAGTCGGACCCCGCTCGTTGCACCGTTGCACTACACCGCCCTGCCACCTCCGTAAACTCCTGGGCAGCCAGCAAAAATCCGAGCTTCAGGTGGGAGCGCTTTGAAGGTGTGCTCAAGGGTGTGGATCACTTCAAGCTCGCAAACTGCGAGGTGCTGAGCGAAAGCGCCTCGACACTATTGGTCCTCTCCTCGGCGAGGTGATCCGGATTGTCTGACCAAATCTAGAGAGGTCAGCAGGTCCTTTCCGGCGCGCTTACAGGATGAGCACGGTGCCTGCAATACCTAGGCCGGCCCCATAGCCGAGCAAGCACCGCGCTGGACGGGCTCAAGCTCCTGCCGCTTGGTCTCCGAAAGGAGCGCAGCAGAGTCGCCTGCGCCTGCCGAAGGAACCAAAGACAAACTCCTTTTCGACCCAGTTCAAGAAGATCGCCCAGTGATGCTTGCGCAGAGCTGCTGTCCCGGACTGCGCCGGGCTTGAGACCCTCAGCACCCTGAGTACGGCGCGGGGCGAGTGCGTCTGCGAAGAACCCTTGTCCACCAAGACGGAAGGCGGTCCTGAGTCTGGTTGTCTTCAGCCATGAAGCGCCGGCCCCTGCAGTTCTTGCGACTGCATCCCGCCTGGCAATCCAGGAGGGTAGGTTGGCCTGCTCCTCCTTCGGCAGAAGCGCTGCCCAAGAAAACCGCGGGCGCCGTGCAGTTCCGCGTCAAGTAGGCTCTTGTCCTTGACCGCAAGGTCACACCGTGGCCATAGCCCTTGGAACTCTCTGTGATCCCGTGGTATGGGTTCCCAAATCGTCGGCACCCTTGTTGAAATACTGTTCTGCCAACACATTCACATGACCGTGTCCGTGAGTCGCGTCTCTGCCAAGGAGGTTCTGCCTTCCAACCTTCTGTACTGACCAACACAAAATGTTCGACGATTGGTGTCAGAGCATTGCACTGCTATGTGATTTTTGGGTCAAAATCCCGTAGTTCCACTGAACATCCCAATCCCCACTAAAATAGACATAAATTGGGGTTGTGCACCTACCCCAAAATGGTACCGTTGGTTTTGACCCGCAGCCATGTGAGCTTTGGATTGGAAACCACTCCTGTTCAGACCCCTCTCTTGGGCGCGCGCAATGGTGTGACAGCGCCGCCACACACCTCAGCTCATAAAGGAACCGGCCTGTGAGCCATATTCTTGGTTGACGTGGGAAGGGGAACAAGACATTCAATTTTAGCAGTTAAGTGGGGATTCCAACCACGAAACCACAATAAGCAAAAATGTAAAATGGTTCCCAACAACAACCATGCGTTTGGTGGGAGGTCCAACGTGGTGCCACCATTCTGCGTTGGAAGCTAGTGGCAGCTGGGGCCAAATTGATTGACTGCCTTGCCGAGCTTTCAGGCCATGAAACCTCTTTGAGCCGAAGCGATCGCCGAGAACGAGTTCTTGCAGAGCCCTCCCATTTGGCCAGGGTTCCGGGAGAAAACAACATGATACAGAGACCCCAAGAAGACCCAAGCAATTTTATGTAGCAATGCTTGCCGGGGGTGCAGGTGTCATACACGATTGCCCGCGGGTTTTAGGCCCCTCAACTCATGCTTGTTGGATGCTGCTTGAGCGCTGGGTTCGGCTGCTGCTGGCCAGTCAAGATGCATCAAGTCATGCAATGACTGAAGGAGCCGTTTACAAATGTGTTGAGTTGTTCTCCTCAGTCCATACTGAGAATTTGAGCCTTCGGTTGATTATCAGCAGGCGCTCCAAAGGATCATCTTTCACTGCCAGGTTTGGGCAAGCGAGACTTACAGCTCATACGTCACTTGGTATGGTTCCCCCGGCTCCACCGAGGCCTAAAGCAGTCTTATCTATCCATCCATCCTTCCATCCAGCCATCTATCCATCCATCCACCCATCCATCTGTCCATCCTTCCATCCGTCCATCCATCTATCTGTATCAATCACTTTTGCCAGGGCCCTGCCAGGGACGCCACGGCACGCCTCCATTGACGCCAAGGCACACCAGGCCCAAAGGACCCAGAATGAGGCCGCCCTTGGCCTCAGGCACGGTTGCACGGGCCACCCCAAGGCCTAAGCTCAATCCGAACAAGGAGCGAAGGCCTAAAGATGGCGGTGAGTGAAAATGCAACATGTCCCATCTTTCATCCAATCTCTGCCCTGACACCACCGTCTCTCTCTCTCTCTCTCTCTGTCTGTCTGTCTGTCTGGCTGTCTGTCTGTCTGCCTGCCTGTCTGTCTGTCCATCGATCAGTAGCGGCCAGCAACTTCGATTTAGGCGCCGGCCGTCGCAAAGGGCAGCGTCCTCAGCCGCGCGACACAGCTAAGGAGTCAAGGGCCAGAAAACCGCTCCTCTTCTCGCATAACTTGCATGGCCACATGGCTATGGGTCAAAAATGCGTACCCAAAATGGAACCCTGGTAAATGGAACCAAAGACTACAACCTGCGGTCCCCTGGTGGTTGTATTTTGACCCATACCCACATGACACTTGCCCAACATAAGAAACATGGCTGCCGTTTGCTGGAGGGAATCTTCTTTTGGACCCCCATTTTGGGTTCCATGCCAGCAGTGTGATGCAGTGAAGGGACAAGCCAGGACAGCATCATGATATCATGGCAAGCAGTTGACTAAAACAATCCAACTAGCCTTGCTGATAGAAATTGTGTGCCGCTGCCCTGCCATTGTCCTCCTACAGACTTTGACATACATAGGATCAATGGATCGATTCCTGAAGGCCCCAAGTTTGGTCCTTTGGAAGACTCCCTGCTTTTGCCAAAGCTCGGTATCCCACTTCTTGCAGAAAGGGTGGGAATGTTGCATCCTTTCAGCAACTGGACAATATGAGCTGGGGTTGTTCACATGACGTGTTCAGATTGAGTGCAGCCTCAAAACAACGCCCCAGCCGGGTTAAATCCAGTTGCCCACAAACGACAATAAAGCGCTGCAAGACATCTTAGCTGCATGTGAGCAACTATGAGAATCTGCCTTGTGGGAAAACCGGCCATACTTCCTGCAGCTAAACATTGCTCCAGACACGTGTGATATGAAATCACTGTGCACCACCTGTTGTAGCTATGAACTGCGTACATGGCGTTGTGCAATGGAACAGCACGAGTGGCAAAAAACCATGCCTTCAAGCCTGAAGCCAGACCTAACTCAGCTCCGCCTTTTGTCCGCAGGCCGAAGATGCGTCTGTACAGCTGCGACGTCTGCTCCAGCGGCCTGCCAAGGATACGAGGTCTTCGAAACATGCGGGGGTTTGTGTACCCTGTCCACCTGGGTGTAAAGGAAAACAACACATACCCATGCCGGCACATGCCCCAATGCTAGGTGTCCTTCTGGAAAATAGATGGCGCTGGATGACTCGAGCCAAATTGAGCCGGAACCCAAGGCCACCTCGCCAACCCAAATACATCTATTTTTCAGGTAATCGAGAAAAGAAAAAAAGACATGCGAAAGGTGCTGGGGTAAGTCGGGCATGAAGACTGCGAATGGAAAATTCGGGTCCCTCAGAACTCGGCAAACGACCAAGACCAGCTCCCAGACGACCAACTCGGCTTGGGGGGAAAAGCTGAGCTCACCAACTTGGGGCATGGAGTCCATGTGCCGTGGTAAAGAAGACATGTCATGTTTCCCTTTTCCGACAGAGCTTCTAAAAATGGCCAACTTTAGTAAAGTTTGGAATAGTGGTACAGCAGGTTCTGGAGAATGTAAGCACGCTTGGATTTTGAAAGATTGCCAACATCCAAATGTCAAACAACATGTGATGCCATCGTCTGGATCCATGTTCCAGCATTTTGACTTGGGCATTGCTCAAATGCATTGAGGCAAAAAACATGTAACAAGCTAGGACCAAAAAGCAACGAGGTGATCTCAGAAACTTTCAGAATGCACGGGGAATATCTGCGTGGCCTCAGGGGACATGTCCCAAGCATGTGCTCCCTTGCATCCATCTCTTTCATACGTCCCAAGCATGTCGCTTGCGTCAAAGGGAATACTCATGATTGCGACGCGACGTGTCCCAGGCACGTTTCGCCATGTCTGCCGCCTTTCGTGAACCACAGGCCCCTCAGAGTGGCCCCTGGCGACCCGCAGCTGCGACCCGAAGGCCTTGATCGGAAGCGAGGCGCTGGCCTGGCGACTGGCATGGACAGAGAGAAAGAAATACAGGTGGGTGTGTGTGTGTGTGTGTCAAAATCGGGGAGGCCTCAAAAGGCTGGGTCCCTTCAAGCACCCCACCCAAGTCAGACTCTCAGCTTGGCTGACTTGATTGGCAAAACCTTCCAAACAAAAGGCAGAAAAGAGTCAGACTCACATACTGAAAGCCATGCCCCCAAAAAAATGCGCTGAGTCCCGGATGGTGAAACCACCAGCCTCAGAGTCGAGCCTGGCCCCAGCCCCAAAGGCACGTCTCCTCAGGCTCAGCGGACATGCTCCGAGTTGACCCTTGCTATTTGGGTGCCTTGGGCGGTTGGCGACGAAAAATGCGGTTTCGGCCGCTTTAGATCCCTTTTTTTTGCGAGAAGCGGAGTCCTCTCAATTCTCACTCACCTCCCCTTTCCCGATCGAAAGTGGCAGGACCTTCACCACCTTGGGAAGGCTGTGCGAGCGGTTTCTGGCTGTACCACCGGTGCTCGTATATGCGGGCAAAGCTCCTTCTGTGGGCCATGGGCCTAGTTCCCTTGCTAAGATAGGATTCTAAGCGCAGACGCTGGTTGAAGGTACGGCGCCATGGAGGACCCCCCGCAGCCCTTCCCAGCAACTCCGCCCGCCCAGCCTTGGGGTAGGCTCCTCTGGAAAATTCGGCCGTGGAGGAGCCCTTGCCTTAGATGGCACCGGGAAAAGCTTCTCGCGGGTTCACGGCAAGAGGACTCACAGTCGCAGGATTCACATCAACAAACTCTTCAAGCGCGGAGGACGTGCGTGCGCTATAAAACGCTGCCCCGAAAAATATATCGCATAAGTTGAGGGAGCGTGCATCTGTACCATTTCATGCCACTCCTACTTCAACTACCGCCAAGCTTGACCAACAAACTCCACGCCTTACCCATTGCTCTGGAGTGTTCCTTCAGAATATGAGAAGACCTATTCAGAGTCAGCAACCGGCGCTTTTGCCTGCGCAGCAATACACGTAAGATTGGTTCAAGACAAAATGTGGCGCTGCATTCAACTCAGGTTTGTGCTAGCCTTGCACGAACTTGCTGCACCCACAAAACAGAACAGCACTCTGACCGCACATCACAATGCATTCAACGTGTTCAAGCCTGCTACAATGGCAAGCAAGGGTTTAGAAATGCCGCTGCAGCCTCACTAGCAGTTGAAGCAATCGGGATCATCATTAAAGAACCTAGGCCTTGGTGCGGTCTGCTGCAATGAACGATGCGGGCAAGCACAATTCCAATCGTGCAACCCACCGGGATAGCAACACAACTTGCAAGTGGCCCCTCAACCCAAAAAACAACTTGACAAGTCATCCTGTGTCCTCTTGTTGAGGTTTCAAAAAAGAAAGAAGAACAACTTGCAAAATCATGAAAAGGCCTGCCGTGTCCTCTGGTTGAGGCTTCTTGCTGCATCTTGGCCAAGGTCTCCACACTTCCCAGCGATTCCGAGCGGCTGAAGTACGCCCGGATCACCTCCCATCCAACCGTTTGCACAATTCACCCTCCGGATGCGATCGATAGCACAAGCCCCTAAGGATGGGGCTCCTTGGGTGGGTGTATATACGTGTCCTTGTTTTTAGGCTACCCTTTTCAGGTTGGCTTTAGAGAATCCATTAAAAAGAAAACCACTACTTCTTTTTTTTTCAGGGTACCCTTTTACAGGTTAGCTTACCCCATTTTGGTGCCCCAATGGTTTTTCAGCGCGATCTCCGATTCCATGTCGCCCGCCTCTCCGCCCTCCTTCACATCCTCCAGGCCGAAATTCTTGTACTGGGCCGTTGCCACGGACATCACCTCGAGGTACAAAACCACCGGACTCCCTTGCCGCCTAAAAAGCTGGCATTTAGTCTTGAGAGATCAAGAGGTTGGGGGATACGCAATTGTAGGTTGTTCCCAGTGCTGGGAGTAGCAAAATCACCCCCAAGAGCGACGAGGACACGTGTTCACCTTCTTAGACCTTCCTGATAGTGCATGACTCTGATTTCCGCTGCCAATGAGGATGGAGTCAATTTAAGGACGGATGCGCTCTCCATGTGGTAAAAATCCGGTGGGCTCTGCCGGCCTCTGACAAAAAGGCCTGTGGCTTTTCAAACGCTCAGCCTGCGCTTGCCACCCTCTCCGTGGAAACAAGTGAGCGACAGGGCCTTCGCCAGGTCTCCGTCCAAGTCAGCTCTTCAGAGTTATCACCCTCGAGACCCTCCCCATGGTTATAATTTCGTAGAATTCTGGCAACCTTGCCCGAATTTCAGGCGCTGAAGTCAAGCTGATGGCCTTCCCAAGCATGCTCGCCGAAGCAGGTGTCCGGTAAAAAACGAGTTGCCCGAACTGGTCGGCAAGAGCAAACCAGCCCAGCTGAGAGGAGCCACAGGATCAAAGGGAAGTGCTTTGAAGCAAAGTGACGGAAAAGAAGTTGGACGGCCCCTGTCACAAGTTGAGCGGTTCCCATGAGCTTTACTCACCTTTAGGGCCAGCTTGTGCCGCGCCGAGCGGCGTAGAGCTTCGGCAGGAGGTCACCTCAGACAGCGAGACACAGGCCCCTGCGCCCAGCCTGAGAAATCTCGGTTGCTTTCTGCTCCCCCGCTAAAAGCTTTTAACTTGCAGTGGTGTAATACGGAAACCCCACGAAAAAGTTGGCAAAAAGTTCAAGTCCTAACATCCAAGCAGGATGCAACAAAGAAATACTGCGGATGGACCAGAATCCACGCCGATCAGCCCCAGTTGGTAGGTGGTCTATTGTATCGAAGTCAGCTCGTCGTTGACCCTTGAGAACCTGATGGACAGCCAGCGTCGGGACAGGGGAGTTAGAAGGTGGCTCCAATCCGCTGGACCGGTTTTGTGAGCGGGGGGGTTCCAGGGCCACCCATTTTCAGGGTTCCCAGAGCCGATTGGACACCGGGCCTTGCCCCTTCCCCCTGAATCCCCGGGCAGTCCAGGAGCGTCATGGTCTCGCCCCACTGCTCCAGCAGCTTCCCCAGCTGCGCCAGCGAAGACTCCAGCTTGGCGCCTCTCACGCGCGTGAACCCCTCGGGCTCTTGCTCCTCAAGCCTGAAAAGCCAAGTCAAGAGAGTGATGCCTGAAACCACCGAAAGTCTAGGGGTTGATTCCAACCAGTCTTGTCAACCAGTCTTCTCAAAAACCGGATCCGTTTTCCCTGGGTTTCCGGCGGTTTTCTAGAACGAAGGATTCCTGCATGTTGCAAAAGGTTAAAGCTAATGTTGAAGAGGCGAAAAATGAGAGGGGTGTTGGTTGAAAAGTTGAACAGGCTACCACGTTTGGCCCCGGTGCGCTGAGAGAGTGGTGCCGTAACAACCACCGCAGACCCCTGTTCCAACTATGTACAAGTAGAAAACCACTGCGAGATGCCCTGTGCACCCACGATGATGACTGCAAACACTCTGGGAATTTACATGTGGGGAGCGGGGAGCCGGGAGTCGGGAGTCGGGAGTTGGGAGTCGGGGGTCGGGTCACCTCGGAACATGGTCCAACCCATTGCTTCGACAAACACTTCTATTTGCTTAAACCCCATGGGAAAGATACACATATTTCCAGTAGTGATAAATTCCCTTGAAAACCAACAAGGGAAAATATATTCTTAAGCAAATGGAAGAACACTTTTGAATCTGCAAGGAAAAAAACAGCAGCGCTGTTTTTTGTGTTTGAGGTTGAGGCTGCTCATGGCTGCTCCCTTGGTTCATAAGCCTTGCAAGCAAAGGAATCCGCGGCCGTTGATCCCATCACTTGGAGGGCAACCTCTTCACTCCGTACGGGTTTGTCTCTCAATGGGTCGAGGGCCAAGAGGGTGGTTTCCGTCCGCTTGCCTGAGAACGCCCAACAAATAATGCCCTCAAAAACAACAGCCCCCATGTGAGTTTGGCTCAAAATGAAACAAGAGAGGGTTACGCAGGTTTCGGTCCATGTTTCCCACTTGCCAGGGCAACCCATTTTCCACAGCCATGTCTCAATGGGCCTCACTGACGAGTCCGTCACCTACGCAGGGAAAGCCGGGCCTGGGCCTCCCGGCGCAGTTCGGGGTCTTTGGCCGCATCCGTGTTCTTGGTGAACCTCAGCTTCGCACCCTCCCAATCGCGGAAGCGAACAGAGACTTTGAACGAAGACGACCTTTGGTTTGGAGGAAGCCCCCCTGTCTTCCAAAATCCTTGGAAATTCCTTTGGAGGAAGACCCTGTCTTCCAAGATCCTTGGAAAGACGGGTAAACTTTGAACTGATTGCCCGCGGTGCTTGCGTCAGGTTTGCGGACTGCTTCCCATGTGTCTTGTTGACGGGTACTCTCTCGAGGAAAGATCTGCTCAGATTGATCAAGTTCGCATGGGCATGAGTCCAACTAGGGGAACCTTCCCAAATGGTTCGTTGTCCTTTTGGTTTACCCTGAAAACAATCCAACAAGGAAATGTGCGAAACAAAGAAAACCACAAGGCCGCATGCAATATTCCAGGGGGCTAATCGAAAGAAAAGAAGAAAGAGAAAAACAACAACGAGAATGGCCATGCGCCGCGGCCGAGAATGGTTTCTTTGGCTGCTGTTTCTCCACAAAATAGCCAGCAATCCAACCCAGGAATGAAAGACACATCAAAAGTCGAGGACCGACGCAGTGAGCCAACCACAAATTCCTGAGAGCCCAGTGAGCCCCACCCAAGCATGCCGCAAGCATCCGCATGCGTGCTGAGCCGCCAACCCGGCAATGGCAGGGAACAGCCCGCAGCCTTTCACCTCCCCACAAGTTGGGCAACCCGTGTTACTCACCGAGTGACTGATGCGAGAAACGGCGCCTTTGCTTGAGTTTGGCGGGCCCGCGTTCCCCCAGAATGGCCGGGATCTTTGCACATGTATATCAAAACTGGTTGACCTCCGAATCCTTTCAGGTTCGCTTTGCAATGATCCAGGGAAACGCGCGCTGACACTTTTTGTTGCCGCTTGTGCAGTTCATAGTGACACGATGGGAAGTTCGATCGAATTGGGAGCTGCAAGCAGTGTCCCTCAAATCTCAACAGCAACACACGAGACACAACAATCAAGAAAGCGATCTGAAGCGCGCATGCATTCAGAACCGATTTGCCCCGTGGAAATCATGAGGTTCAGGGGCAGGACTTAGACTTAGCACACACCTTGGCTGGGTGATATATAGATATCCAGCTCCTGGATGACACGTGCTTACAGAACCGATCTCTCAAGCTTCTACGAAGACTTCTTGGACAAGCTCTCAGTGACACATCCATCAATTGGGGGTTGTCGCCTCATCTGCGGTTCCACCGGAACGGATTTCCCATGGACAAACGCAAGATTGTCAGATGTTCAAGGCGAATTTTCTTGCAAAATGCCAAGTTGATGTCACTTGCTTGTTGTTTCACGTCCACTCAGTCATCAGCTTGCGCAGCTCGACTGCAGCAAGTTGGCTGCCAGACTTGCTTTGCTTTGGGCTAAGCGCTGGCGACCTATTCACTGCGGCGGTCCATCCGCGCATCCTGGCGTCCCCCCGCTGACTTCTTCCGCTTGCCAGCCTCAGACTGGATGAGGGCAAAACTGGATGAGGGCAGGCTGCGTACTCAAAGTACGACAACATCATTCTCGAGCAACCAGCCGTACAGGGGCGTAAAAGCATGAGTGACTGGAGGCAAACTAGGTGGGCCAAAAACAAAAATGGGGGATCAAAGGAATCTGCCCGAAGCTCCATCAGCATGTGCGCCTCTTGAACGCTTCCTTGAACCTGCAGTTTATTCCAGCCCTCGTTCGAGATGGGAAATCGTCCTGGGTTGGGTGATGGCTTTGCTTAAGGCAACGCAAGCCATCGCCAACAACAGCAATACCCTCGGCAAAAAAAATGAATCCCCCATCGCATTCGGCTCAGTCCTGCCGTCCTGCCCCGCCAAAAATGGCGCTGGGCGCTGGGCGCTGGCTCAGCTCTGCTTGAAAAGAATTGCAAGGTGAGCATTCAGATGATGCTTTCCATGCTTTACACATCAATGAACCGTCACTCAACGCATTCCTCATGTAGATGGCGATATCGGATGTGCTTCCTTCTCAGTGCCAAATCCAGCCTATCATGGCAGGCAGCGGAGCGTGCCCGGGCGCGCAGCGTGATGCTCCTTGACTTGGTCACAAAATCGAAATGCCGAAGCTCGAGCAACCCCAGCCCAACCACCGACAGATATGGGAGCAGTTTGGCCAACCTGTGTATGAACTCAAGACACTCAAGCGGAAGAAAATCGCTCTGGCAACTGACCCCCACTCCTCGGCCGGCTCCTTCAGCTCAACAATAAACTTCCCGGGCTTGGGGAGGTCCTCTGAGCTGCGACACTTGCACTGCACGCGTTCCCACAGCTCGGCTCCTCTTGCGACTCTGAGGGCTCTTGCTCCAGGGTGAGAAGCAACAACGAGCCTCTCGCATCTTTCGCATCTTTCAGCTTGTTTCCATCGAATTCCAATCGCAGCATCTCAGCCAACGCGCACGCCAGCTTTGGGTTAAAGCCCTCCTCCACAAGGGCAGGAAATCCAAGAGCAAGGCGGAACTGGACGTGCAGCAGCTGCAACAATTGATAGGGTTCGAAGTCAGAAGTTTTGAACTCTACGAACGTCCCATCAGTCAACAAGTCTGTAGAGCTTTCCATCGAGCGCACATACCTCTGAAATCTGCCCCCATCGATCTTTCTCAGGTCCGCCAAGCAATCGCTCAAGTGGCGTTGCGAGTTACCGTCCACCGTCGGCGGATATGATCCATCGGGTGACAGCACGCCGGCAGCCGTAACACATCCTCTGTCATCCTTGAGAAAACAAAACATGACGGGCGGGCGAACTGACACTGGACGCTTTGCAGAAAAAGCTGCCTGCACCACAGCGGCTTCGGTCCAAGAATCCTTGAACGTCTTCAGGCGCTCGTATCGCAGATTTTTGAAATCGAGATATTTCCATGTCTCCCCTTCTGACACTTGCTTCTGCAGCGCTTTCAAAAAGTGTTGCCGAACATGAGCAGGCGCGCTCTCACCGATATGCGTCTTGATGTGGTCCTCAAACTCGCTCAGGTCTTGCGGGGTGTTCTTCTAGTTTATGTCAAATGTCTCAGACATCGGGTGGAAGGCGCCGCGCTTCCAAGCTTCATACACCTGCATCGCCAGGTGGTACCGCCCGACTGTACGCAGTATCACCTCACCACCCGTAGGGATCGCACCAAGTACCGATTGGCTGGGATCGACCTTCCTGGGACTGCCCCAGTTCTTTCCCTCCCTGAACATGATTGCTTCGATTTGCCTGTCCAGCTTCTCACTGAAAAGCTCGAAGCTGGCGTCCTGTGGCAACCTGCCATCTGTTTCCTTGCCGCTCATCCAGCGGCATCTCCAGACTATCTCCGCGTCTGTCAATTCTATGCTGGCAGTGAGTGCCTCAGTCATTGCTGGCCGGAGGATCCTGATGCCTTCTCCATGAGCCAAAATGCGCAATCTGTGAAAGGTAGTTGAGCAGCTCCCAGAACGTATTGACTTTGGGTTCCGCCAAGATAGTTTACGGAGGCCTCGCTATCCCCATAAAAGCCAGTGGCTGAAATAGGCCAACAAGGGACTTTGGGCACTGCCCAAGTGCTGTTTTTGGGCAGGAGCGATTTGTTCCCCAGGGAAACGTGCGCTGACACTCTTTGTTGCCGCTTGCGCAGCACATAGTGACACGATGAGAAGCTCGACCGAATTGGGAGCTGCAAGCAGTGTCCCTCAAATCTCAAAAGCAACACACGCAAGAAAGCGAACTGAAGCGCGCATGCATTCAGAACCTATTTGTTCCGTGTGAGGTTCAAGGGCACTTAGACTTAGCCACACCTTGGTTGGGACGATTCAAGCACGTGTGATGCTTCTAGACAGCTCGGGGCTCCGGGATGACACGGGCTTACAGAGCCGATCTCTCAAGCTTCTGCACAAATTTCTTGGAACCAGCTCTCAGACCTGAAACATCCATCAATTGGCGGGTGTCGCGTCAGGGATGGAGAGTCTGCTGCGGTGGGTTGGATGGTCCAGCGTCACATTGCTATACGTGCGACATATGCTTAGATTAGATATGTTTGGATTTCCCCACAGTGAGCTGCAAGCAAAAGGCCTTTTCTGATCTCGGAGTGTGGGATATGTATTTTCTGTCAAGCTTGTCAGTGCGCAAATCCTTGGATTGCTTCTACTGGTTCAGGGTTCCAGGCCGCACGGCATCAACCCTGGAGTGGTGTAGCCTTAAAAAGCTTGGACAAGTCACGATTCCCCGAGCCTGAAAAAACTCGATTTTAGTTTCCTATCGTCTTGCTGTTGCTTTATGCGAGGGTAAACATCATTGCACATGTCGATAATGGATAGGCCGGAAGGATGACGCTCCTACGTACTACTTCCCAGTGCTCAAAGCTTCACAAATATAGAATTGGTCGTTTGCTTCTTTGCAAACGATTTGTGATCAAGGCGATGTTGAGCTGGCTGGCTGCTTTGGCTCCTTTGCAAAAAGCAAAGAACGGCCCGAGGGCTCTGGGAACGGTACAAACCAACATGATCCACGCACGCCAAAAGTTGGAATTTGGAGATGTCATGTTTTGCCACTGCTCCGAACATGCGACTACCCGCCTTGCTAGGTTTCTTCTGCGATGTCTCGTCGAAAATGTGAAAAGAGAGCCGCTAAATAAGAAAGATCGTCTCAAAGAAAGCTTTTCTATGGCCCGTATTGAAGCTGAAAAAAACATCTACTTCCTTGATCACTTCGTGGGGACTCAACCTACATCTGATAAGACAAGGCGTTTAACACCGAAGCCAGACGTAGCTGCTGAAAGCACCTCTGATCTCATGCTGGCTTTCAGCAACTTGACACTATGAAAGTTCCCGCGGCCATAGAGGCGATTATCTAGGTGAACTATAATGTTTCACCAACCTTTTCTCTTTTCTCGGCCATGTCTACTGCACTCAGCGCTAGCGGAATGCAGCAGGAACCTATGTTCACCCCTGTAAAGAGGGACACAACCACCAGACAGCACTGTGCCTCAACTACGGGTGATGTCCTCCACGAAGGACGTCACTCCTTGTAAAACACACATGCACGCTCAAGGATAAACCTCGGAGCCACTACCCATTGAATGCACCTGCAAGACCCAGGCCATGGGGGTATTTGCACCCCGCACGAAAAAAACTGCTGTCCATACAGGCACACCGTGCGATGGCCGCCATCACCAATCAAAGGTGAGCACTAAGTGCTAGGGCACATCAAAAAATTCACAAAGGTCCACCAGCACATCGTACCAAGCCACCAGTCCAGGATGCACTGCTCCAGACGCCCCGACAACCAAGTGCACAAGGACAACCACCATGTGTGCTACCAGCCAAACGCAGGGATCACCATCACCACCAGAGCCTCAATGCATCCACCTGCTGCCCAGCCATGGGGCACCTGACGCCCCACAAAACTCGATACTGTATGCACAGGCACCGCCCTCACATCATTGCCAGCTCCCAGGACACACTCCAAGATGACCACCTGGAAGGTAGTTCGTGAATTGCCGGACAGGGTTGGGCTCTGTGGCCAAGCAGCGCGGCACCTGGCAAATCTTTGGCATCCACTCGGCTTCCAAGATGGGCTCGATGCCCGCATATGTCAGTCCGAATCCCATCGCCCCAACCGCGCATTCCAAGCTGCTGCCAGAAAAAGCCCTGCGCCTGGAAACAAAGGCCCCCTCATCAACCCCAAGGACTGACGCCCCTCCACCATGTGCCTGTGCCGAACACTTGGCATTGAGCAAAACCAAATGTCCATCACCACGGGGCCAGTCACCAAAGACCACCGCCCTTTGCTGAAGAAAGAGCGCGTGTCCAAGCATCATCCCAGGGACTGCCTCCTCCACGATCACCCGACTGAGAACCTCCACCTCCATGGCTGGCGATCTCTATCAGCCGTCCCAGCTCGGCCACTGGGAGGCTCTATTCCCCAAATAAACCACCATTTGGGGTGAATTCGGTCGTGTGAGGTCGATATAATTCACCCAGGATTTTCGGTCACCAACCGAACACTTCTGAGACCGAGCCTTCTCAGGGAGGTCGGCAGGCGGCTGGAGAGACGGCGTCGGAAACTCGCAGTCGATCCAAGCCTCCGCGAGCCAAGTGGAAGGCTCTGTCTCAAAACGAAACGGGTCTATCCAAACAAATGGGTGTCTTTTTGAGGGTGCGCTTTTTTGGGGTTGGCTTAGAATGGAAACCAAAAGGAAACCCACAAGTTTTGGAGTGTCCCCCCGAAAAAATACACACCCAAATGAGGTCCTTTCAAAGCTGCTGTGGAAGCTACAGACTCAACCATGGGAAATCTGTGCCACCTCTTTCAGTCAGCTTGGGGTCACATTGTTCTTCCTTCCCCCTTGAGCATCCCACCAGGATCTCCGACGTCTCCACATGTGGCTCACCCTTGTGGCAGACACAGGGCATCTTGCCCCCACATTCCTGCGACGCGACGGGGACATTTCAGCGGCCAAAACCGCTCCGAAAGGACAGTGAATGAGTGAGCCCCCTGGGGTCCCTCCCACATGAAACATGGACCAATTTAACTTGTTTTAAAACCGAACCTTTGGGCAAATAGGGGGGTTGTCAACCTTGGGCGTGCAAAAAGATCGCTGGAAAACAGAAGGATTCGCGCCTGGACCCAGGAAAGCGTGCGACGGGTACTCTGATTTGTCGGGAACAAACAGATGAGGTATGATTTAAATGTGAGGACAAGGGAATCGCCTGCATGCCGCGATGGGAGCCGCTGCAGTGGTTGATGAGGGGACTCTCCAACCGCCGGGTGGCGTGCTCGAGGATGGCAGCGCAAGAAGCTGCTCGCAGGTCGGACAGATACCGCGAGATCGTGCCAACTTGTCGTGAATCAACCCAAGAGTCTGAACATCTAAACATCAAGCCAGTGAAAAGTCAAGATATCCACTGCCTCTAGACCCAGCATCTGAACCTTGATAGGAACCCAAAGCACAACAAAGTGTAAACATAGCTTGAAGACCTTCATCTATGGGCCAATCCCGAGCTGGATATGTTACCCTCAAACCATGAAGGCAAGTGTTTTTGTTGGTTGAGCTGTCCTGTTCGGGAGGCAACAAATGAAGCTTGAAATTCATCGACAAATCCAAGAGTGTCAGGCTCTCAAGAGTGTTCGGGGACATATTCATCCCAGAAAAACCAGAAGTGCACCAAGATCGCTTGATAATAAATGTGCAGACGATGGTCCGCTGTGTGCAAACCCAACAATTGTACGGTTGGTTTGCCCACGCCGCCTGACCAATCACGCCCCATTGATTCTCATGTGCACTGTTTTTGTTCTCTACCGTAATCTGCGAATCATCATTATCTCACAAAAATCCGTGGACAACAGACGGCGTGTTGGACACATAAAATGTTCCTTACCTGTTACCCCTCCCCTTACCCCTCCCCAGGGGCACCATTTCAGACTATTGAGGGGGGGCTCCACGTACCACGCGGTGATTCGAAGACGCTTCACTAAATCTTTTCATTTTGGGGGCCTGCGCGACACAGTTGCAAAAACATTGGGGTGTTCGATTCCTGCCGGGTCCGCTTTCTAGCAGCCCCAGCGGCACATCGCCAGCAATACTTGCATCATCCGCATTATTTGTGTGCAAATGGTGCAAGTAATGCTGGTGGTGTTGCCGGTGAAGGAATATCTGGAAATGAAGGAACATGCATGGAAATGAATGGGAACAAAAACAGACACAAAGGGACATGAACCGAAGTGAAGGAAAGTGAAGGGAAATGAAGATCTTCGAAGAAGGGGGGAAAAACGTTTTCGGGGGGGTACTGGGGAGAAGATCGGGGGGGGGGGGGGGAAGGGAAAGATAATGGGGGGGGAAAGGATGCCAACCGGGAAAGGGGGGGAAAGCTCTTTGCGAGGAAAAGGGAGAAGATCTCAGGGGGGGAAAGGCCTTAGAAGGAAAAGGGGGAATAGGATCTCAACAGGGAACTGGGGGGGAAAGATCTTAGGGAGGAAAGGCAGAAGATCTGGGGAAAAAAGGGATCTCAACAGGGAAAGGGGTGGAAAAGATCTTGGGGAGGAAAAAGAGAAGATCTGGGGAAAAAATGCCAACAGGGAAAGGGGGAAAACATCTTAGGAAGGAAAAGGGAGAAGCTCTCAGAAGGGGCCTTAGGAGGGAAAGGGGGGAAAGGATCTCAACAGGGAAAGGGTGGGAAAGATCTTAGGGAGGAAAGCGGGGGGAAGATCTTAGGGAGGAAAGGGAGAAGATCTGGGAGAAAAGGACTTAGGGGGGAAAGGGGGGGAAGGATCTGAACCGGAAAAGAGGGGAAGGGTCTTAGGGAGGAGAAGGGAGAAAGATCTCAGGGGGGGAAAGGCCTTAGGGAGTAAAAGGGGGGAAAGGGTCTCAACAGGGAAAGGGTGGGAAAGATCTTAGGGAGGAAAGGGGGGGAAAGATCTTAGGGAGGAAAGGGAGAAGATCTGGGGGCAAAAGGCCTTAGAGGGAAAGGATCTCAACAGGGAAAGGTGGGAGAAGATCTTAGGGAGGAAAAGCGAGAAGATCTCAGGAGGGGAAAAGGCCTTAAGATCTCAGGGGGGAAAGGCTCTAGGGGGGAAAGGGGGGGAAGGATCTCAACAGGGAAAGGGGGGAAAACATCTTAGGGAGGAAAAGGGAGAAGATCTTGGGGGGAAAGGCCTTACAGGGGAAAGGGTCTCAACAAGGAAAGGGGGGAAAAGATCTTAGGAAGGAAAAGGGGGAAGATCGCGGAGAAAAAAAGGCCTTAGGGGGGAAAGGGGGCAAAGGACCTCAACAGGGAAAGGTGGCCAAAGATCTTAGGGAGGAAAAGGGAGAAGATCTCAGGGGGGGAAAGGCCTTAGGGGGGAAAGGGTGGGAAGGATCTCAACAGGGAAAGGGGGGAAAAGATCTTAGGGAGGAAAAGGGAGAAGAACTCAGGGTGAAAAAGGCCTTAGGGGGGAAAGGGGGAGAAAGGATCTCAACAGGGACAGGGAGAAAAGATCCTAGGGAGGAAAAGGGAGAAGATCTCGGGGGGAAAGGGGGAAAGCATCTCAACTGAGGGAAAAGATCTTGGGGAGGAAAAGGGAGAAGATCTCAGGGGGGGAAAGACCTTAGGGGGGAAAGGGGGAAAGGATCGAAAAGCGAGAAGATTTTACGGGGGGAAAAGGCCTTAAGATCTCAGGGGGGGAAAGGCCTTAGGGGGGAAGGGGGGAAAGGATCTCAACAGGGAAAGGGGGCAAAGGATCTTAGGGAGGAAAAGGGAGAACTGAAAAGGCCTTAGGGGGAAAAGGGGGGAAAGGATCTCAACAGGGAAAGGGGGGGAAAACATCTTAGGGAGGAAAAGGGAGAAGATCTTGGGGGGGAAAAGTCCTTAGGGGGGAAAGGGGGGGAAAGGATCTCAACAAGAAAAGGGGGGAAAAGATCTTAGGAAGGAAAAGGGGGAAGATCGCGGGGGGAAAAGGGGGAAAGGGGGGAAAGGATCTCAACTTGGAAAGGTGGCAAAAGATCTTAGGGAGGAAAAGGGAGAAGATCTCAGGGGGGGAAAGGCCTTAGGGGGGAAAGGGGGGAAAGGATCTCAGCAGGGAAAGGGGGGGGAAGATCTTAGGGAGGAAAGGGAGAAGTTCTGGGGGCAAAGGCCTTAGGGGGGAAAGGGGCGAAATGATCTCTACAGCGAAAGGGGTGGAAAAGATCTTAGGGAGGAAAGGGAGAAGATCTGGGGGAAAAAAGGCCAACAGGGAACCGGGGGGGAAAGATCTTAGGAAGGAAAAGGGAGAAGCTCTCAGGCGGGGAAAGGCCTTAGGGGGGAAAGGGTGGGAAGGATCTCAACAGGGAAAGGGGGGAAACAATCTTAGGAAGGAAAAGGGAGAAGATCTGGAAAGGCCTTAGGGGAAAGGGGGGAAAGGATCTCAACAGGGAAAGGGGGCAAAGGATCTTAGGGAGGAATAGGGAGAAGATCTCAGCGGGGGGAAAGGCCTTAGGGGGGAAAGGGGGGGAAAGGATCTCAACAGGGAAAGGGGGGGAAAGATCTCAGGGAGGAAAGGGAAAAGATCTCAGGGGTGGAAAAGGCCTTAGGGGGGAAAGGGGGGGAAAGGGAGGAAAAGGGAGAAGATCTCAGGGGGGAAAAGGCCTTAGGGGGGAAAGGGGGGAAAGGATCTGAACAGGGAGAGTGGGGAAAACACCTTAGGGAGGAAAAGGGAAAAACTCAGAGGGAGAAAGGGCCTTAGGGGGGAAAGGGGGAATGGATCTCAACAGGGAAAGGTGGCGAAAGATCTTAGGGGGGAAAGGATTTCAGCAGGGAAAGGGGGGGAAAGATCTTAGGGAGGAAAGGCAGAAGATCTGGGGGCAAAGGCCTTAGTGGGGAAAGGGGAGAAATGATCTCAACAGGGAAAGGGGTGGAAAAGATCTTAGGGAGGAAAGGGAGAAGATCTGGGGGAAAAAGGCCAACAGGGAAAGGGGGGAAAGATCTTAGGAAGGAAAAGGGAGAAGCTCTCAGGGGGGGAAAGGCCTTAGGGGGGAAAGGGTGGGAAGGATCTCAACAGGGAAAGGGGGGAAACAATCTTAGGAAGGAAAAGAAAGAAGATCTGGAAAGGCCTTAGGGGGAAGGGGGGAAAGGATCTCAACAGGGAAAGGGGGCAACGGATCTTAGGGAGGAATAGGGAGAAGATCTCAGCGGGGGGAAAGGCCTTAGGGGGGAAAGGGGGGAAAGGATCTCAACAGGGAAAGGGGGGGGGAAAGATCTCAGGGAGGAAAGGGAAAAGATCTCAGGGGGGGAAAAGGCCTTAGGGGGGAAAGTGGGGGAAAGGGAGGAAAAGGGAGAAGATCTCAGGGGGGAAAAGGGGGGGAAAGGGGGGAAAGGATCTCAACAGGGAGAGGGGGTAAAACATCTTAGGGAGGAAAAGGGAAAACAACTCAGAGGGAGAAAGGGCCTTAGGGGGGAAAGGGGGAATGGATCTCAACAGGGAAAGGGGGGCAAAAATCTTAGAGGGGAAGGGGGGCAAGGGGACAATTCCAAAGGGACGCAAATAAGAAAGCAGGCCTGTAATGTCGGTGGCCTGAGCCGGAGGCGTTAAAATAATGCATCGCAGAATCAGCTCTTCAGACTCTGACTCTATCTCCAAGTAACACCCACACCTTGAACCGCTTGATTCCGAGCTAGCCCAAAGTTCACTGAGCCTCACAAGTCCAAATCCTGAACCTTTGATTTCGCACTCCTTGAGACAACGACCGAAACTAAGCCCCTCACAAAGTTCAGGAAACATGGACGCCTCCTGCAACCCTCCGCAAATCGAAGAAGCTCTCCGTTGGGCTGTGGGGATCGCTTGGCCCCCGCCCCGCTCCCCGCACTCCTCCAGAAGCCAGCTGGGCTTCGTCTCCTGGTTGGCCAGGAAACGAAAACTCCAGCCATCCCCTCTCCCCCCTGCTCCAAATACAAGTTTTTGTTCAGGGTATTTTTTGGGAAAACCTGGTTTTCCATAGTGTGTAAATCATTCGGATGGCAAGAAGTGAAGATGAAACCACCATTCGCAGGCTTTTCTGATGCGGGAGTCTGAAAATTTCAGCAGCTTCATAAAATACGCTGCGGGCAACGGCTAGTTGCTCGAATAAGCTCAAGTAAAACTGCTAAGATGTGTGCAAACCTTCGAGGTCGCGGGGACCCCGCCAAAGGGGCGGCATTGCGGCAGCATCCCCTACGCCGCCTGTACGCAAGGCACCACCTCGTAGTCCACACCCTTCAGGCCTCAGGACGTGGCGAGTTCTTGGCTTGCTTGGAGTGGCTGTGAAGGAAGGCACGGGACCAGCCAGCTGCAAACTCAATGGATGAAAGCCAGGACTGGGGTCAGCCTGGGTTCAGGATTTTCTACGCAGGATGGATAGTTTCATCACATGTTCATGATGACAGCTGACGAAATATGAAGCTCCGCTCTCGCCTGAATGGATCGCATGCGGGATTTGCAGAGTCTGCTCCCAAACCAAACTGATTGGATTGCAGTTGGTGGGCGGGTGCAATGAAAGTTGGGCAACTTGCACGGTAGAAAGACATGCTTCACCCGATTGCATGCTCATTTTGAGGATGCGCAATGTGGATCGGCTCCCGAAGGCACGGTGGTGCTGAAATGTTTACTCGTCCCCAAGTCCCGTGTGAAATCTGCGGAAGAACGTGAGCAAATCGACTTCGTCCGGCAACCATGTGGCCTGAAATGTCAGACGTCCCTTCTCGTCCCTCCGAATTGGACTATAGGCTACTGGATACTCGGGCATGTCTTCTTGTGAAGGGTCAGCCAAAAGGACACCACCCATCTGGGTTCCGAAGAGCCGTCGGGCCCTGCCGTCGGGGCTGCGGGCACAGCGCCATCTGCACGCTGTGGGTGAAGGGGCAATCCCCCAGAGAGGCGGCATCTGGGCCAGCCTGCTGGGTGCCGGAAATCAGCTGGCAAGAGCGAGTGTTTGACCGGCCCTGCTTTGTATCTTTCTGGGGGGACCTTCCATTTCATTTTTTTCCAGGGATCCTTCTTTTCAGAAAACCATCAGAACCCCAGGGGAAACCGCTGGTTTTTGAAAATGTGGGGAATCAACCCCTAGAATCTTAGGGGCCCTGCCCTGGCGAAGCAGAGTTCCCAGTTCCCCGTGTGACCCACTCGACCAATCGTTCTGTAATGGGTTGTTTTTTCCAATAGCCGCCAGAAGCCAGGCATGTGGATTTCCTGGTCAAATCTATGATTCATCGCCCGACGCCTTGCTCTTCCTGCTTCAACCATTCACTGCAAGGTCAAATTCTTGGCCACGTGCGATCAGGTGACCAGCCCGGCCTTGCAGTAGAGAGTCGTCTTGCTGGGCCTCAGAGCATCCGCTACCGAAATAAGAGACGTTGATGGCTGAGCATCAGATTTTGCTGTGCACCCTGCAAGACGCAGGCCAGCCTGGAGCGGAAAGGAGGGAAATCCTGCTCAATCCTCTCATGCGGTGGTGGTGCTTCCTTACGATTCATACAACCGCCAGACCATCCTGGCGTCTCCACCCTTCATGCAAGTGTCTTTTCTGGAGGGGGTTGAAGGTGAAGCCCGCTGGTGGAAGCACGAGTTTGCACTCCGCCCAAGTTACATGGTCTGCTGGCCTGGCCTCCCCGATCTCGGCTGGCTTCGTTTCTTGTGCTTGTTTCATGGCTCCAGCCGGGGTTTGATGCCACACCTTGCTTTGCGGACTGGTTTTGTGTTGGTCCACTGGCGTCTTGGCGTATTCAAAACATTTTGGACGGCCCCATGAGCGTTGGACACCAACCAGTTTTTGGATCGGTCGAACAATGGATCCCGTGGCTTCTTTCTTCTACTTGGTCCAAGGCAGAATCCCGCCAAAAGCCAACTCAATCATGGTGCAACATCGAGGGAAACCAACCTAAGCCAAAAGACCACGAGTGTTGTTCCTTACGCAAACCGATGTCTGAAGGGCTGGAATGGAGCTAAGCCAGTACCATCTATTGTTCCCCAAGCTAACCTAAGGACACCTATGAGAGTCATCTACAACGCACGAAACATGGAAACTTGGCATCCCTAACCCACTGGCCCCTACGGCGAGTCTTTCCTGGTGCGCACCTGACCCGGTTTTTGGCCGAGGTGAAACGAAATGCCTAGAGCGAGCCAGACTCCACGTCTCAAGTCTCGCAACAACCCACCGGAATCAAAAGACGTAACAGAAACACTTCGCAGCCGGATGAAATCAAGAAGAGGAATCAAGGCGAATGTTCACTATATGTCACGTCTAGCTCACGTAATTCACCCTGAAATGAGCGCTGCCTAGAGCCGCTCGTGCTGCGTTTGCCATTCTGGGCCCAGAAACAATGCCCCGCTGATAAACAAGTAGAAGTCAGAAAGCCCGTTCCAGCTTGGCACGCTTTGCAACTTGAAGTAACAGGCCCAACTATCAGGGGATGGGCTTATCCTGGTCCCCTGTTCCCCTGGTCCCCTGTCGTTAATGGAGTAGCCCTGCTGAAATCTCCGAACACCAACCAGGCTATCCCACTTCGGAGCCGCCATTCAGCAAAAGCTTACGCGAGTCTTCGGGATGGCTCCCAATTCGACCAATGGGCCGTCGACGGCAATGTCAGAAAGCAACCGTAGCAGAGCACGTCAATAAGCAACTCATGTCCACTTCCCAATCCCCTTTGTGTGCATAATGTACCCAAGAACCAGATCAGTCGTGGAAGTTGGGGTCTCTTCTCCTAAGGACGCGGACGTCGTGGGGTCCTTCCCAAAGAGCCGTCCGAAGTGGCGCGTGCCTTTGCATCGCTCGGTGAACGGCTCGCTTCGGACAGGTGCCGAATTTCGAGTCCCAGCAAGCCAGGCCCCAAAACGTGAGGTAGCTCGATCTGTGATTTCCAGGGTACCCTTTTGCGGTGATGAAACCGAAATGTCCACGTGGGTGTGTGCCCTGCCCCTCTTCCCCATGTTTGGTCGTTCACTGGTTGCTGACATCTAAGCGCGCGCGCGGTCCGCAGAGCGCGACTATGTTTCCCCTGAAAGCACGGTCACCAAAGAAACTCATACCTAAAGGTGCCCAAATGATGATGTTCCAAACCACCACAAAGGGGTGATACAGGGACCCTTGAGGAAAAAAATGATGATCGCAGAGGTTATGCAGGACACCTAAAAAACAGGACCTGGCCTCAAGTGCCCTGTAGAGAAAACTTAGACAACTGCGACATGTTGGAGTCAGCCGAGCAAACAACCTGTTGTGGTCTCACGGTCATTTCAAGTTCGCGTTCTTGCTGTTCACACCAACTGGAGGACTTATACAGATATTGCAGTCTGCATGTCCATATCCTGATGGAAAATCACTATAAGGCCATATGTAATAAGAAAAGCCCCCAATCTTCAAGCTTGTTCACCATCCAGTCTTGTGGCTCAATTCACAGCCCCAGCGTTGCAGAACCAAGCTCCGGATCCCATGCTAGCGATGCACCTAGCCGAATTCGCGCCAATCTGAGACAAGCTGCAGCCCCAAAATTAGCGGCCAAAAGTCGTGTCGAACGTTTGTCAAGAACAAACGGCCGCCATCGGGGAACGCACCTCAAACGGCCAAACATCTTCTTTTGAGGGGCGATGCTGCGTGCCAGTGCCGGCGGAGACCTCCGAAGCCTCTTTTCCCGGCCTCTGGGGAAAATGAGTTGGGGGTCTGAACCCCCTTGCCGGGAAGGCCATGAAAAGGACACACTCCGGAGGCGTGCCTGCCTGTAAGACAGCCAGCTCGAACCTCTTGTCCGAATCCGCTGGAAAAGCTTCGCGACGCCGCGAGAGGAGCTTTGTCCTGCCAGGGAGCGCAGAACAGACCCCACGTGGGTGAGTTTTCCCGACTTGAGAAACATCAGCGCTTGCGCACATAAACACACACACACACACCAACACAGACACAGACACAGAAGGGCAGGCAGACAGACAGAAAGACAGAAAGACAGCAAGACAGAAAAACAGAAGACAGAAAGACAGCAAGACAGAAAGACAGCAAGACAGAAAGACAGAGACAGAGGGAGAGAGAGACGGAGAGAGACAGAGAGAGAGAGAGACAAACAAAGAAAGAGACAGAGAGACAAACAAACAGACAGACAGACAGACAGACAGACAGACAGACAGACAGACAGACAGACAGACAGACAGACAGACAAACAGACAAACAGACAAACAGACAAACAGACAAACAAGCAAACAAGCAATCAGGTAAGCAAACAAACCCACGCACAAGCAAGTGTACTCGCACGCGCACAAATGCATGCGCACGAACACGCCCAGGACGCGTGTGAAAGCGCCTGCCCGCACCTTCCTGCCCATAGGCACACATGCACGCCCGTAAGCACGCAGGAAGGCAGGCAGGCACGCCGGCACACTGGCATGCAGACAGGCAGGCACACAAGTGCGCATGCACAAATATACACACACACACACATTCTGCCAGCAAAACACCACCAAACCTGCTTTAGGCTACATTGCCCATGTCATTTCAAACCTGCTCTGGCTAAAGGTGAGTTTTTGCCCTTCATGTGATTGGGGCTATGATGGTCACTGCTCCTGCAAGAACCAATGGAAATTGACAGGAAACCTTTCAAGCCAGCTCTGTAAAGCCACTAAAAGCGATTGAGAGGTACATCAATCATAATTGGGACTGGGGTTCCAGAGCCTTGGCATTTTGAAACTGAACATAGGGGTTCATACCCATCTCCTCAGCGTTGCAGATAAAAAGGGAGAGTTCTACAGTTGATTGGGGAGCCACCTGCGCATTTTGTTTGATACCCATCTGAATTCAGTAAAAGCAATCCCTCACAGAGCCTTCATGGCAAAGCTAGAAATTCAAAACGCACCGACCAAACCAAGGGATCCGCTCGCGCCTCATCACCCAGCTACACAATGGTGGAGTTGCCGTCATCACCAGCTTCCTCGCCTGCGCTGTCGCCCGTGTTGTTCACGCTGTCGCTCGCGTCGGTGTTCGCCGCGTCTGAGTCTGGTCGTGTAAAGGTCCCGGCCGGGTAGTAGGGATAAAACCTCGGCAAGGGGAAGGATTTCCTAGCTGCAGCTTGATGCCAAGTCTTCCTACTTCTGGCAACCTCTGTAGGGTCGCTCGACGCAAAAAGAACCATCAGAATTTCTAGAGAAACAGTACCGCGCAGGACATCACACTGCGAAGCTGGAAGAATCATGTAAGTCATCCTGCCCGCCCGGGATCAAGGATGTGTTCAGAATGCTGATTGACTTGCACGGTTGCCTCTACACGAATAAATGTCGTTGCAGTTGCCTCACCTTCGGAACTTCGGTGCGACAAGCGGGATGGGCCTCTGTAAAGCCATATGCTTGCCATTAGCAAGATGAGGGGAAAGAAACTGCAAGAAGAGGGAAAGCGAGCAGAAGAATAAGGATTCAGCTTCCCTTTAATTGTTTTGGACAGTTGGTTTGGAGGTTGGGTGGTGGTTTCCCATGTACCCTCAACAAGAACCAGGTGTGCAGGATTGCGAGGAAGGAAGAGCGGGGAGAAGAGCAAAAATGGGTAAATGGGGAGCGGCAAAAAGACAGGAGAAGAGCGAAGAGCCATGCAGCAAGGAAACAAATGGGGTCTGAAAAGGAAAAAGAAAAGCAGGGGAAGGTTGTTCTTTGCGGATCGTTGGAAGTCTCTGGAAAGCATGCGAGCCAGCACATATATGTTAAACTGAGCAAGGAGCCTAGGAACGGCCAACCAGCGATCTTCGGGGAGCCGCCAGAAATTTCGAGGGCCCACCCCCAAGAAGCAATTGTCCACCAGCCGGCCCAAACAGCCAGCTGACGCCTCCCTGGGCGGATTTTTACTGAGAGTCCGCTGCGCCAAAGTGGGTATCCTCAAAAATGAAACGCCCCCTACCCACGAAAGTGGCAGCTTTGAAACTCTTCGTGCCACAACCTTCATAGGGCCTGCCCTGAAGCAAACCTAGGGGACTGACCTCAAATTTCCCGCAGGTCTCTCATCCCGAAACAAGGGAACCTAAGTGCGGATCAGTTGACTCCCGTCACGGTGGCTGAATCTCTCAAATGCAAGATGTTTGCCACAAACCTTTGCAACCACTTGGAGATGGCCCCCCACCCAAGCCAAGCGGCTTGTTGATGTCGAAATCGCAAGGAGGGTCCGCCAAGACGGGCTGCTCAGGGTACTTCCTCAAGCAAAGGGTAGATTCATGCAAAGAGATGAGTGTGTTGACAATATTTCAGACCAAGTTACTAAGCCCAACAAATCACCTCCCTGATTGCAAACATTGAATTCCTCGACCTCAGTGACCATCTTGGATACTGTACTTGAAATATCTCGACAATCCACTGTACCTCAAGAATAATGGTCATGCAAAGAGCCTCCATATCTGTCTGCAACCCAGGCATTCACAATCTTCACAGACCGGCCCTAGTCTAACTAAGTAATGTATGTTTTGGTCCAGCCAAATGAATCTCAAGACAGCCCTAGTACATAATACCGAGTTCAGCGGAAGCATCCTTGCCCTTCGAGCGAGGCTTCCTGTCATGAATCCATTCCAACTCGCAACTCGTCCAGGTTTCTCCGATTGCATGGTAACTTCCGGCACATGCGTACGGTGCATGGTTGCCCAAGGTCTGTGATGCCGCGAATGCGTACTTTCTTGCCATACGGAGGCCTTTCAAACATGGGTTCCGCCTTTGCAAAATGATCTTGGCGAGTGGTATCCTCGCAGTGCTTCAATCACAACAAATCCCTCGAAAGTGGAGTGTGGCTTGTTTCAGCACAAATGCTTGCTTTGTTTATTGATTTATTTATTATCATTATAAAAAAAAAAAAACCTCAGGTGACATCCCAACAGCATGCGGTGCTCTTTTTAGTGCTCGCCCCGCCCCGTAGCCCTTGCAGAACCTGGTGGAACCCTGGTGGAACCCTCGTGGAACCTCGTGGAACCTTACCTCAGGGCAGCCCCGGACCACCCCGGAGCCTATCTGGGCTGAGACCCCAAAGCTTTCAGCTGTTGGGGAAAAATGAACAGTGCATCTCTGGACCCATATTTTGCGGGGGCTAGGATCAAGGCGTCAAGCCAGCACTGCTGACTCGCTCGGTCCGGGCGGCTTTTCGAACATCCGCTGAACGTGATCCACACGGGCTTGGCACGCCGTCTTGCTGTCGATGTTATCCTCAGTCCGATGCACCAACCACCAGTGGACGAGTCTCTTGCTTGGTGGTAGGAAATTTGGGAGTGACCCTTTACCAACCGCTATTGAGTTCTTGTAGGCAATGGTTGGGAGGGGCATGCCTGTATTCCGTAAGAAGCAAGCAAAACGATACTGGTTCAGAAAGGGTCTGCAAAGGAGTTCGGAAAGGGCCTTGCTTGATTTCCCCCACACAATTTGCGACCTCCTTGCTTCAGCTGGTGATGTTGCCAAGAGGTGAACGGGCAGAATTTGCAAAGCTAGGCCACCCCGAAGTTTGCAGCTGAAAGGAGTGACACAAGGGGCGAACAAAAATATATCATGACGGGTTGTGTACTTTAAAACCAGGGGAGCAAAGTGTGTTCAGCAAGTCTTCGACCTTCCAAGAATTTTGCCTGGCCACCCGCCGCTTGCAGCACCCAAAGGTCCCCAACCCTCTGCCCATCCGGAGGCCTCCATGGCCCCCGACGGGCACCCTGAAAAGCGACCACATCGAGTTGAGAAGTTGTGCGGATGGAGAACAATCCAGAGCCTTTACAGGCGCAAGGGGGTGGGCCGTTGAGAGCCCCAGGGTTCCCTCGGTCTGTTTTGTCGGGTTCCTTAGGGAGCCTCCGGGAACCCCTTGCTTGGACCACCCAGGGATTCCCTCAGTATTGGGAACAAACACTTGGGAACAAACTTGTTTGCCGCAGCTCGTCATCCCACATCCTTGTCCAAGAAATGGGGTGGTCTCTGTTTTGCTTTTTTTTTTTTTTGGGGGGGGGGTGTTGGACTGTTGGGGCAGCGAGGGCCAAAATGTGTGGGTTTTCCTTTTGGATCTCCAGTAATGTCCACAAATATGGAGTGCCCTCAAAAAAAGACACCCCCAATCTTGAAGGGGTCGATTAAACCAACAGGACCTACGCACCCATGCCGCGCTAATCACGCGAGCGCCAGCCCAAGGCGAACTTATTATTCCCCTTGAAAACCGCACTTGTGTGGCTGTGATACAGCAGAAAGAATGCTGGGTTCTAGGTTCGCCTCCGTTGGCCGCAAAAATCCCTGGTCTGCCAACATTCAGCGCCTCCTAGGTCCTCCAGTAGAGAGGTTAGAATAAGGGTATCCTTTTTTCTGTAGTCTATTTTAGTAGGGGAACCCTCCCCACCAAAAAAGGGGTTAAGAAGGGCACTACTGGGGGGCCTAGCCTCAGAAAGCAACGCACCCCCCTCCCTCCCCTCTTTCACCTCTTCGATTCGAGATGCCCAGAAGTGCAGGTGCACCCCCTTGTCCGTTTTCTTGTCGTACTCGCGACCTCCACCTCATAGCTGCGGAGAAAAACAAATTATTTCACGAGAGAGCGGTCAACAAACATATGGCGCAGGTCAAAAAGCTCAGTGGTGGAGTTGTTGAGTCAAACCGATGAAGCAATCGGAACATGCAGGTCACACAACGGACTTCGACGCATTGAATATACAACCAGCCTAAAAAAGCGGCGGTCATGGGAAAAGGAGCTGATTGTCTTAGTAACACAAAAAGCACACGCCACGTGCGGGTCTGAGGGTCGATGGCAAAAGGCAGTTCCCAGAGGCGTAACAGAATCCTATGCTTCAGGACTCCTCCAAATCGACCGACCAATTCTGTGATCCAAGACCAAGAGGCTCCCCTTTCGCAATTCTGAAGGCTGCCCTCCAAAACACCCTCCACAAAGACATGGTCGTAAGTCATAGCTTTCGAGCCACTTCAAAGCTTCGCTTGGTTGCTGTTGACCCTTCTGCAAAAAGTGTTTACCTTTTTTGGGTTTAATGGAAAACCCCCAAATTTCCCAAAAAATTAAAGTCTAAAGTGACTCTGGGCTCAGATATGTTGGGAGCTTGCAGGCTTGACGGGCAAGCCAAGGGAAGCGGAAGCTTCAAAGCTTCTGCGGCAACTAGCCGCCGGAAGGTCTGCACTTGGCGACATGTGCTTTTTTGACCGTAGAGTTGGACTTGCTGTGCAAGCGGCGTTTCTAGAAACCAGTTGTACCAGGAGTGTTTGTTTAATTCATCCAAGATGCATCAAGCAGTTGCTCTAAACAAAACTTCTAGGATGTTCATTCCACAACCCATGGTTGTTCATCACCAATGGCATGGGTGTTTTGCGTGCTAACTCAAAGCCAATTTCTAAACCCGACTGAACACCCCAGCTCACCTCTCAGCCGACCTGAGACCCTGAGACCGCGGCCCTCAATGAGAGTCTCGAAGCTTGTGATGTTCTCGATCTCGCCTCAGCGAACAAACTCCAAACTCATCCGAGGGGATGGTCCCCTCGAGATGTCGGAGTTCCTTGTGTCCATGTCCAGCAATCCCTTGTTGACTAATACACACAACGGCACCAGTTACTCAGTGGGACGGATGAAGCCCTATGAAAATGGTTGATAAACCACCAATGCCAACTGGTGCGATTTGCAAACTTTGTAACCACGGTATTTCCTTTCCATCAGGACACCATGCCAACGATCTTCTCGTGGTTTGATCATTGTTTGGGTCGGAGCAACCCTGATCCACTTGGAAACTGACTGGAGTCCCTCTTCTTTGGGATCCTTTGGTGGGTGCGTCAGCGCTTTAGAAGGAAAAAGCGAGGAAGCCGCTCTGCACATCTCCCCAATGCGGCATTCCACACTGGAAACAGAGCTTGCCTTCGACTCCCATGGGGTTTGGATACCCCTGAATGTGACAAGGCGACTCTTATTGCCTTCCCCGAAGGCCCACCCCCGGGACATCTCTGCATTTCGCTTTGCGTCGCTCGGGACCTACGCTGGCTTCGGGCTCGGCTTTCCCAAAGAGACTCCTCTTTCTCTAGCTCCTTAGACAAGTGGCAATACCATAGGTGTCCTTTTAGGGGAAATAGATGGGTTATCCTGGTAGATGATGAACCCACCAGGTAAACCAGGAATCGCCACCTATTTTTCTACCAAACAACCAAAAAGGACACCAATGGGCAATACAAACGCCTATTGCTTCAATGGTTGGAGCCCCGGGTGTTGCGATCAGGGGTCCAAGGCGCGTGCGAAACATCCCTCGGCTGTCCATTGAAACTGAAGCTCCGAGCGTATGGGAGAAAGAGAAATTAGCCATGTGTGTCCGACCCATCGAGGGGAACCGTTGCTTCGGAACACCCCCAAATCTCGGTTGCGAAATCTGCTCCCCCTCCTACAAGTGACTAACATTGTTTTTGGTGGTTTAATACGGAAAACCCATTGGTTGGCAAAAAGTTACAGTCCTAACATCCCTTGGCAAAATGCACCAACTGGTTGACGAATCCCGGGACGTGATCTTTCGAATCATTCTCAGCAAACCGCTTCCCACGAAGCTGGCGGCTTGGATTGGTGGCTTGGTGGAAGACCCCGGGGTGGGCTTCCCATCCCACGAGAATCAGAGTTCAAATCCAAATCCAAACCAACAATCAACTATACCAATCAACCATATTAATCAGCCACATTAACCAACCTATTGGGACCCCATATTACTCAACCCCAGTTTTATTCATAGCGGGGTGTCCCTAGGTAAAAATGTGGGGAATCATACCACTTTCGAAGGGGCCGCCACCCCCCTCTGAAAATATTCCGGGACCCGTTGACAGTTATGGTTCCCATTTTCCCACAAGAACCAGGGACCCGTTCAAATCCAAGTCCAACCAACAATCCAAACAACCAACTAGGGATTGCCAGGGTTGTGGGATCAAGGGTGTATCCCCCACTTCCATGCAAGAAATTCCCCTCTTTCTATGGGGGTTAGTCTTTGGGAGGCCCGTTTTGTTGTATCACAGATTCGTGGATTCGTGGATTCCATTTCAACCACAGCCGGGATACCTGACATTCATCATTCTAGTGCTACCTTCCCCGTTCTTTCCAGGGGTCCTTCTTTCTAGAAAACCACCAAAAAACCCTGGGAAAACAGCTGGTGTTTGACCAGAACGATGGTTAAAAAGAATGGACAAGGAATCAACCCCTAGAGGGGTACCTGACATTCAAGGGAAGACCGACTCATGGCTTCCGAAGCGGCTGATCTTCAGCTCGCCGACCTTCTGGTAGGTGTAGGTGCAGGTCCATTCACCTAAACTAGGTTCTCCAGCAGAGAGGTTAGAATAGGTATACCCAACTTTTTTCAGGAAGTCTATTTTAGTAGGGGAACCCTCCCAACCAAAAACGGGGTTAAGAAGGGCTCTACTGGAGGACCTAGTAAAGCTAGCCCCTTTGAACTTGTGGCTTCCCTCTTGGCTTCCCGCAAACACCACAAAAAACACACGACATTTGTTCACTGTAAGCATTAAAAGGGGCGTGCGATCATGGTGGTCCAAAAGGATGCCGCGATTTTGGGTGATGCTTTTGAGGCTCTTGGCTCTTCTCCAGGGGTCACCGGTGGATCCTGCTTGGAGGACAATAGCTTAGTTCAAGCGCTACCCAAGACTCAGACCAGGATAGGCCTTCACAGAATGGGCAAACATCGAGGAGCGCCCACTGTGACGGCCCCGAATGATGGATAAACACAAGTGCCATGAATGCCCGCCAAGTGGGTTGACCTATGCTAGTGGCTGTGTCCAGTTGCTGGGTGTCCAACTTCTTGAAATCTTCCAAGTTCTTCTTTTGACTCTGGAGAAGCGTGTCCGGCTGCATCCTTTGGAAGGGGAAACGACTGATTGAGGCATCATGGTCCCACTCAACAAAGAGGAGTAGCGTCAACCCAGTCCACAGGCAAAGGGAGAGCTATGAAGCAATGCAAGATAGCGCTCTTCGTTTGCCTTTTTTCTGAGTCTCTCATACTATTCATATCGCTCCTGAGCCGAAAACTGTCTATGCTCATAGAGCAAAGACCAGGCTAGACGCTGGATGGCTCGCGAAAACGTGCTTTGCCGATCAGAAGGTTTACCCCTTACATGACAATCTCGTTACCAAAGGAGCAAACGCATTACAGGCCCCTTCAAAAAGTGGTAGCCCCCAACCACATATGGGTGCATTTCTCATGGGTGAATGAACTCGCGCTTACAACTCCAACAACGACACACACACACACACACGTGTAACATATATATATATATAAGGAGTTCCCCAGAAGGAGAAAAAACAAAGGGACCACTCCCATACAGATATGCCATAAATATATATATATATATGCACCTATATGGGTAGGGATGTTTCACAGCTGTGCGTTCCGGGCGTCCCGGGCCTGTAGGCACCACACCGAGAGGGCAGGCTCCAGAAGGCTCGTTGTTCACGCAGTCTCCCTGCTGGTCCCAAAACTTCTTGGAGCTACACCTCGAGGGCAAGAACCGAGTCGGTCCATCCGGGTCGGCCTCCGACCGCAGCGGACAGCCGGAGACCGCGGATCGACAACAGCAGATGTCCCCACCAGGCGTGTTTGTTTATTTGGCTGACTGTTTTCTTTTATTTATTTTTCTGGATCAGGTGAATGTTGGGTTTGCGAGGACCCTGAAAAAGTGAGCTTGAAAGTTGAAAGGGAAAATGAAGGAGAACAAAGGCAAACAAGGCAAACAGCTCAAAAGTCATGGGCAATGATGGGCTTGACTTGAAGGTACCCTTTTTTGGTGGTTTCAAAGGGAAAATGGAACCACGTGTTGAAGTGTCCCGACAACGGCGAACACAAGCCTCGAAAGTGGGTATGCGTCCAAAACAGGGGAGCCTTACAACTTCTACCGCCAGTGCCCGCCTAGTTTCCTGCGAGGGGAGTGGAACGAAGTGAGGTGAGCCGGAGAAGTGCCTGTGGTACTGTGGGTGAACAACGTCCAGTTGGGATGGATGAACCCCTATAGTCCAGAATTTTGTCCACCCACAGCATCTACAGATTGAGTTGGGGGTATTCGGGAGCGGCCGCCAACTTCTTGCCTTGCTACGAGCTTAAGCTCCCTGTCCAGTCCAGCCGTGCTGACCCCCCAAAACTGCGCTTAAGCCAACCCTAAAAAGGGTGCCCTCAAGAAAAGCATCCCCCCTATGTTGGGCCCCGCTCGTGCAAATCTGATGAATCAAAAAGGGGGTCGGAGCTACAAGTATGTAAACCACCAAATCCACGAAAAACTGAGCTGCTCCCTTGAAGGAACAATTGGGAGGATAACAGGCCGCCAGAAGTGCTGTCAATTGCAAATGACACCAAGCACCTTGGACCAAACAATAACAGGCATTGCAAATTGCGGATAGGTTGACATAGGTACACCCAACCGCGAAAGTCCTTGCATTTTTCGTGTTTTGCTCGAACGTCCGCAGCCTGCCAGTAAAAACAACGCCACGGATAGTCCCGGCAGGGTCCTTGCAACTGAGCCTTCCCCACTGGCACACGGCGCCCAAGTGTCTCCTAAAACTGATTTGTTTGAGTACCACTACGGACGCAATCCCCATGGCACATCGCATATTACAAAGCACTTAAACGCATTTTAAGCATACACGTTTAAGTACGAGTAAGAAGGCAATCCCCATGGCACATCGCATACCAGTTGGGACCAAGATGTTGCTTGACTATGTGTGTTTGCACGCCAAAAAGAAGGCAATCCCCATGGCACATCGCATGCTCAACAACACCGAAACAATTTTTGCAAAAACAAGTTCTTGCGCTAGTATGAAGGCAATCCCCATGGCACATGCATACCCAAAGGCAACCAAATGCATCTTGAAAACATCTATTCGAAGCACAGAAGTGAAGGCAACCCCCATGGCACATTGCATAATCAACCGCAATGTGTCTCCTAAGACTGTTTTGTCTGAGCGCCACTACGGACGCGATCCCCATGGCACATCGCATATTACAAGCCGCTTAATCGCATTTTAAGCATACATGTTTAAGTATGAGTAAGAAGGCAACCAGCATGGCACATCACATACTAGTTGGGACTGAAATGTTGCTTGACTATGTATGCTTGACTATGTATGCATGGCACGTATTACAAGCACTTGTTGAGGATGACTGCGTGTGCCAATGCGATTCATGTGTTAGTTGACTGAACCTTCTCATTATCTTGGCCAGAGGCAGTGTGCCATTGCGTTTTGTGATGGGAGTGGGCCTCAACATTCAACAGCGCACCTTCGCCAAACACTCCTCAAAGTATCCGCCTCCCCATGGCACACCAGACACTTGGCTTTGTGTACAGTGGGGGGCTGGGGTAGCACTTGCGTCGCCAGCAACATCTAAGCCTGCAACTTCTATCACCTCGAATCCTACTGGCACACAGCTGAACAACACAAGGAACCAGACTCCCATGTGTTAGTTGACTGAATCTTTTCATTATCTTGGCCGGAGGCAGTGTGCCATTGCGTTTTGTGACGGGAGTGGGCCTCAACGTGCAACAGCGCCCCTTCACCAAACACTCCTCAAAGTATCCGGTCCCCCATGGCACACCAGACACTTGGCTTTGTGTACGGTGGGGGGCTGGGGTAGCACTTGCATCGTCAGCAACATCTAAGTGAAACGAGTGTACCCATGCGATTTGATTCAAAATGGCTTCATGCCACACATCATAAAAGACAGCATGATCATGACCCTAAATAGCTTTCCCCACTGGCACACTGCTTGCGGCGCGAGATCATGGCTTGCGGGGCGTGTAACCACAAGGACCCAGTAAGTGTTTTTTCAGGCGTGTGCCAATGCGATTGGCCACCCAAAATGCCTCAACATCACCAACACAAACCGCGATCGAGGGAAGGTGTTTTCCATGTGTGCCAGTGCGTTCGGCCTACCCAAAAGACCTCAACTTGATCAATGAAACCATCTCAGGGGACCACGTTCAGCATGTATTTCTCTACAAAAATGACCTCAATATCACGCAGCAATTGTCTCTTGAAAACATGCTAAACCAAACGCCACTGGCACACGGAGTTGCAACGACCCTACCGGATGCGCTTCGTGTGCGTATTACACGAAAAACATGCTGCCAAAACCAAACGCAACGACTTTCACAGGTGAGAGTATGGGACAAAGTTAAACCACCAGGAATCGGACCGCAGGTTTCCATTTACCAGGTTTCCATGCCATTTACCAGGGCAAGGCCATTTGGGGCTTACCCAACTCGTTTTGGTCCCACAGCCACCTGCCGCGCGGTGGTTGTGGCATGCCGAGGCGCTTCCCCGGCAGGCTGTACCACGCGGCCTCGGCGAGCGATCGAACCGTTGGCGCCGATCGGCGCCCATCCGCGCCCGGACCCCACGCCCGAGTCAAAAGTTGGGTTGCGCCCCCCCCCAACTCCAAGCAGCCGAAAAGCAGACAGATTCCCCAAAATTGCCATGTTGTTTTTTGCTTTTTGGTTTTTCTCCGAGGCGTACGTGCACACAGGTCACACACACACACACTGAGGTGGATGCCTTGGGATAGACGTTCTTGCCCACCCACTGGCCATGCGGGAAGTTGTTGTTCATCTCGGGGTCCCAGGATTCCTCAGTGCGACGCAACTCCGCAACGCCACTTGTCTCGCCACTCTCGGGGGTCGGACACGCGCAGACAAATGCCTGACATCCGAACTTGCAGTTGTGCAGGCAAGAAGTCCAACTTGGAGTGGGAGAGAGCTAAACGAATACGCATATTCCCTCCTCAACAGGTAATTTGATCCAATAGCACCCCACAACCCCGTTTGATTCTTTTTTGGGAGCTTGTAGTACATCAAAGCAAAGCACGACTAGTGACATGGCCATGGGTCAAAAGCCCGTACCCCCAGTGAACATCCCAATCCCGACTAAAATAGGCGGTGAATTCACCTGCCAACCAAAATGAGATCCCATTGCTTTTGACCGACAGCCACATGCTTCTTTTTGTTTTGCGCAGAGTCCAAGTCATCAAACCTAGAGACACGTCGGGTCTTGACATAAGGCCGTGGAGGATCGATCCGGTGCTCGAACCGGAGCTGATGGACAACGATGCAATCACAAAGTGGCTCACGTGCAAGCCTGCCAAAAATTCCCCTTGTACATGACACATCCAAGCTGCAAGGAGAATCCAAAGACTCTTCAGATGGATCTCACGGCGTCGCCCTAAAATGACAGAAGCTGGAGATAGCCTGCAAGAAGCTGGAGATACGAGCTACCAAGACTCTCCATGCTAGATTGAGATTAACCAATCCACAGCTGCGTGGGCAGACGGATGTGGTTTGTTGCTTTTCAAGGTGCACCGTTTTTTTAGACTCAAGATTCATTGAGGTTCAGTTGTCGGGTCAGCACGGCCTTGTCCCGCGCCTGTTTGGGGGACGCCAAGCGCTAAACAGCAAAGTGCCAAGAAGAAATCAAAAAGCCACACCGGGCAACAGAAAAGGACAACTACAAGAAGACCAAACGAGCGCCAAAACCAACTAGGGCGAGTCCTCAAGAACCTGACACATAGTTGAGACCGTTGAGTCATAGGTTTCTTATCAACACCCCCCTTCAGACTTTTGCTTTGCTGAGTAATTCCAGTGGGAGCACCAGATTGCTTGAAATGTCTCATGGCTCTAGGAGCTGATTCCTTGCCCATTCTTTCCAGCCATCGTTCCTTTCAAACACCGATCGGCACTTCCCCCGGAGTTTTGGCTGGTTTTCCAGAAAGACGGATCCCTGGAGAAAGAATGGGGGCGTTAGCCCTACGGCTCGAAACCCCGAGGCCTCTTGAGCCGAGGTGCACAACCCACCACTGGCCCGTACTCCTGCAGGTTCTCGCCTGGCCAACAAAACCGCGGAGCTCCCAAACATAGACGGCTTGAAATGAGCATGTGTCCGAATCGGGGAGCCCCCAACATGGCGGTTTTCCTGCCGGTTTCTCACAAACCACCCTGAAAAAGGTACCCTCCAAAAACGCACGCACACACACAGACACACACACACACACACACACACAAGTGAAACCCCTGAAAATGGAGACACACCCGGTTTGTGGGGCAATACCTTCCTTTTGGGGAAACCTTCTGTTGGAAAAGGGCAAGTAGTCACACCAAACCATTCTTGTTCCCCTCTTTGGACCAGAAAACATGTTGGGATAGCTGAACCCCCCCCCCACAAAACAAAAGAAATGATTTCACTCAGCCGAGAATGTTTGTTGCTCTAGAATTTCCACCTTACCCCTCTCGTGTTCATTCGCCGACAGGGTGTGTGTGTGTGTGGTCTCGAGGGTCACCTTTTGGGAGGGGCTTGAAAAGGAGACGTTTGGGGGAAAAATGCGGGTCTTGGGGGTTTCTCTCTGAGTTTGCGGGTTGAGTCGTGGCGTTGGCTTCATGGAAACATCGCAAAAGCAGCCCGGCAACTCCCAGTCTCCCCAATGCCCCCATACACAACAAATCGGTCATTGAGAAATTGAGTCACGTGTGCTGCCATTCCAGAATCCACCATATAAAGCTCTTATCAGATGTTCCTTCTTTGAGTCTAATATACTGGATAAATAGTCCTATATTTTATAAACTCAATAAATATGTGTTTTTTTCATCACAACATATTTGTTGAGTTTCATATGTCTATTGTTTACTATACTCGATAAATAGTCCAAATAATGTAAAAAAAAGAAGAAGAAAAAAACACGTTTAAAAATTGCTCTGGGCCGCTTTTCCCCTTGCGATCCGCACCGGCCGGGCGGTTGGCGGCCCTGAGCCCCCTGGCACTTGTAGGGCCCAGTACACTTGCCCAGGTCATAGGCGTTCACCACCTGAGCCGAACCGAGAAAAAGATCTCTGCCCTCCTTACCTCCAGGTTTCTCGAACATTTCCCCTCTCCAAACGTTGGAAAAAACTCAGATTCCCTTACGTTGTTCAGGTTTCTCGAAGAAAAATCCCCTTGCCTCTCCAAACGTTGCAGGAAAAATCCCACCAGATTCTTGGATCATTCTGATTTCGTTGAGATCCAGGTTCGCGCCGTTGGATGCTTTCCCTTCAGTCTGAGCCGCGGCGATGGGCGTTTCTGGGTTCATTTTAATGGAAAAGCCATTTGGCTGTGGCTCAACATCAAAGAGTCAGGGTTACGCAGGTTTTGATCTTTGTTTCCATTTACCAAGGGGCCATTCTTGGGTGCCATTTTTTGAGCCACAGCCATTTGTTTCCCCTCAGGTCCTTACACGAAGGATTCGCTCTTGGGCCAAAGACCATGAAGGAATCGTCTGGAGGGAATCCACAGGCTCGTTTTCCCAAAACCGCAAGGTTTCCTGTTGCATGCGCACAGCAAAACCCGGGTGATGTTGAACGCATCACGCCTATCCGACACATGGCCACCTCGCAGTTGCTTCAGCCCCTGGAAACAAAATCCAGTGATAGATTCCCTGTAAAACCAACAAGGGAACATATAAAATAGTCTTAAGCAAATGGAAGCCGCAAGACTGCGTTTCATGTGCCTTGACTTTGCGAGGTATCGGGCACCCGCTTGTTTCAGCACCTCGTGAAAATGCTTGGCAAACGGCAGGCAGGTGAGGAAACCACCTTTCCTTGCCACCCCCGATGAACCGCGGGTGCTTTGATGTGCCACTTGATGCAGACTAGAATTGCAGCTACAGCCTGATTTTCAGGGTCGTGGTCTTGTGATTATTGCATGTGTTTGCTGGTCGTTTGTGTTTGCATGTGTTTCGGTTGTGCTTGCATGAAAAGCAATGCGCTCAGACGCTCCGCGCCCAGAGAGAGAGAGAGAGAGAGAGAGAGAGAGAGAGAGAGAGAGAGAGAGAGAGAGAGAGAACCTGGTGGATAAAACTTGGTGTTTCCAGCAAACCAGGCCAAGGGTTTATTAATCTGGGTTCCAATAATGTCATTTGTTCCGGACGGGGGCACAGTTCCTGATCCTTGCATTGTGACCATCCTGATTGCAGGTATTGATTCCTATGTCTGAGGCACAGCCAGATTGTCTTCACAGACTACTCCCATTTTCATAGTCAAAGTCACCCAAGTAGAGTGAACTCAAACTATGACTTTGATGGTCCCACCAAAACAGTGTAGAGAATGACCCCTTTAAAGGGAGTCTTCCTTGCCCATTCACTGGAACAGGCTTCCCTCAGCGAAATCGAGCCATAGCTCCCTGCCGTCTGTTATTTTTCCGTTCGCAAAGATCTCTACACAAGTCCAGGCTGGAATTAGGACCCCAGCAAAAAAAATATTTTGCCTGGTGAGTGGAAAAGAAACGGACCCCAAACCCCCCCCCCCCCCCGGCAAAAAAAAAGAAAAGAAAAGGGGGAGCTAATTCTGGGGAAGAATTGTACATATGGCGTTGTCCCTTTCAAACAACCCCCCCAAAAGAAAATGGTGGTGTCCCTTCGGCTCGGGACCAACAAGGGTAGCCTCAAAAAAGACACACACCCAGAGGAATACGCATGTCCCATGGTTATCAACAGGGCCCCAGTAACAATAGGGGCAAATAGTCAACAAGGCCAATTAGGGCCTAGTGTTCCTGTCGGATGCCGCTTTTGGGCTTTTGCCCTCTTTTGGTGTCCCAACCACAGCATGGGAACAAAAAAGATGGTCTGTGTATCTGTCTACCGTGTGGCGTCTGTTCACGTCCCGTCAAACGGCGAGCTCAGGCCGGCACCCCGAAGTTCATGCCTCGGAAAAGAATCGAAGGCCGTCCCTCTGGGATGGCTCGGGATTTGGACCTTAAGGGTATGCTCCAAGAAGCAAAATTGAATGTACCATGTGGCCATGGGTCAAAATCCCAGTGAACATCCCAATCATCACTAAAACAGACTAAAATGGGTGGTGCACCTACCCCACATGGTACCATTGGTTTTGACCCACAGCCATGTGAATATGTGAACCCTGCTATAAACCCTTGGATAGGTTGGTTGCCAAGGGAAGGCTCCAAGAGCAATGGATGACCACCCCCTACTGCCTATTCCTCCGAAGCTGGTTCGGTACCGACACACCTGCCCTTCCAGTCCAAACATGTTTTCCCGGAGTCAACCAAATCACATGCATGATCCCTTTGGAGCCAAAAGAGCTTTTCTTCCAAAGTGCTACCCTCTTCAATGTTGGCGTGTGCTCAGCGCGATTCGAAATATGCACAAGAAAGTCCATGACAGCCTGGAGAGAAACCTGCATTGCTCCAAAAGGAGGGTCTCCATCCCTCCACTTGGCAACGGCATGCCTCGGAGATGGCCCGTAATAGGACTGGAACGAGAGGCCAAGGGCAAGGCTTTCCATTCCCCTACTCTGTGCAGGGTGGGAGGGCACAACAAGCATCCGAGACATCTCTGTCTATGAATTGGAGAAAACTGGGTGGGACCGAGGACCATCCTTCGTCTGTTCGCCAGAGATTATGCATGTGTAAGTTGTTGACATGAGGCCTTGCCTTGCCTTCCAAACTCACCGAAAAAGTCAAAGCAGATACTATATCGAAGTCCATGTTCCCACTGGGAGTTGACCACTTTGAAACCATTGAAATCTTTGTCTCTTGGCATTCTACCGGGGAATCTAAACCCTAAACCCCAAACCCTGGGTTTCTCAACAGGTGCGATTTATGGATTTCTCCACCCTCCGGGTTTCGTCCCAAACCGCCCGCGTGGCGTTTCCGTGGCAACGTGGCACCGGACCCGCCGAGTGCCGAGTTCCAAGTTCTTCCGAGGCGCCCCGGGCGAAGAGCTCCTGCGAGGCGCGGCTGAAGACCAGGTAGCGCTCCAGCCGCGTCTTCGGGGTGTTCGCGAAGGTGCCCGCCCTCGGCCCCCCGCGCCGAATGCAGCGCAAAGAAAGCGGCGAGTGCCTTTAACCCAAGGAAGCAGTTGGCAGTGGGCAAAAATAGTTGGCAACCCCAAAATGAAACCAGGGTAATGGAACCAAGGACCAACACTTGCGGTTTTCCGGTGGCTCTCTGGCGGTTTTGCGGCGCTGCGCAGGGGCCGCGGAGGAGGAGGAGGAGGAGAGCGCAAGCTGAAAAAAGGCGGGGCCGGTGGGAGTTCAAGAGTTGGATCACTCGACATGTCCAAAGTTGAGAGACGGTTTGGAACCTCAAATCATGGGGGCTGGGGGGGAGGGAGGGGAAGGGAGCCCAAATAAGCCCTTATTAAGCCCGTCATAAGGCCCAACCATAAGGCCTTATTTAGGGCTTATTTGGGCTCCCTCCCCCCCCCCTCCCTCCCCCCAGCCCCCATGATCAAAGCTTCCCGTGGGACGTAGGTCGCCCAAGATCCGCATGTGGAGGGCGAGGAACTCGTTCGCACGAACATCGCGAATGGAAGCGCTATTCTTAGCAGGGATCTGTCCTTTGCGCTTTTGATAAAGTGTTCTTGGAGAAGTGGTACAAGGGGCTGGACAATTACGAACTTTACTTTATCATGGTCATGACTTAATTTATTCTTGAAGGCACCCTTTTCAGGTTGGTTCAGGGGATGCCACAAGGGAAACCAACAGAGTATCTGGCAGTTGGGGGCTGAT